ACCTTCACCAAAAACACAATAAAATATTTTTTAAAAATTAGATATAAAGCACTTCAGAACAGTGCCTAGGACAATGTAAGCACTCCAGGAATTTTAATTCATTATTATTATCATTTCTCTTCCTGTCAGTCATTTTTCCTTACAGAGCAGGGCTTCTCTGTCTTATCTAGGTAATCTTTTCATGACATACCCTTTCTGATTATTTCAGGATACTTTTAACTAGAAGGAACAGGAAACTCAACTCAAAATGGCTTAAGTGATAAGAAAATTTATGACCTCAGATATCAAGGGATCTAGCCATAGGAAGGTTCCAGGTTGGCTAATTCATTGTCTGCATCAGGGATCCAGGCTTATTCCCTCTGCTCCACCATCCACCATGTGTTAGCAGGATGCTGCCAGTGTCCAGGCATCACCTGCATACAAGACCATCTTCAAGGGAAGATAGCACCCATTTTTTTCTAGTACTTTTAAAAAAATTTTAACATACAGTGGGAAGCCTTTCCTTGAAACCAACAAAGTCCACTCATGTCTCACTAGTGATGCTTGAGTCACTTGCCCCTTCCCAAACTAGTCACAAAAAGAAATAGAATCACCATGATTGGTCTACACTAATTAAGATCCACCTCCCGGGGCTGGGGATAAGATCACCTTCCCTAAACTTGTGTCGTCAGATGAGGGCAAATACCAAAAGAAAATCTGACCTAGATCAATGAGTGCAGAAGAGAAAGGAGATTTGGGTAGGTAACTAGTATAGAATACCTTATATTTTCTTTGCTGCTTCCTTTTTTCTGCAAGAAAAATGACTTTGTTTTACTCAGCCCTTCAAGAGACTGTGGTCTCAGTGAAAATGACTATCTGAATTCTTAAAACTGGGTAGATTAATCACTGTGTGTTTTATGGCTATCTGTAAGAATATAAAGCTCAAGTTTTCCTGTTGCCCAGATGAATGAAGGAAATCATGTGGTTCCTGAAAACTTGAGATGGAATATGTGACTATATTCCACAGGCAGGTATTTGAAATACTGGTGTTTTGTTTTTTTTCTTTCATGCTTTAGCTGAGAAACAGTGAATGCTTGGACACTGTGAAGTTAGTCCAGGTATCCAAATTGTTGTACCTTTTCTGACTCACATGTGAAGGGGAACTGCAAAATTATCATTCTGATTTGAAGAAATATACCTGTTTGGTAATTGAGACTCACACTGAAAGAAGAAGCAACCAACTGCTTTATATTTTTCTATATCACCTTTTTGTGACAGAGAAGCCGGTTTGAGGCTATTTAAGCCTAGAAAAGCGAAAAATATTGAAAATGTATTGTGGGAAAAAAAGTAAATTTAATTTTGTGCTCTAAGGCATATTTAGGATTAAAATTGAAGCAGTACATAGTTATAGGGAGGAACTCTGTAACTGGTTAAGACTATTTCAGAAGTAGTGGAATGATCCTGTCCCAGGAGTTTTCCAGGAAAGACTAGAAGGCGCATTTTAGGAGGTTACAGAAAGGAGCTCTGGAGGGGAGATTGTATGAGGTCATGTGTAAGAACCCTTCCAATTCTGATCTTTATTAATGTTTACCAGCTAAGAGATAAGGAGAAAGCATGTGCTGCATTTTATTAGTACTTGAAATGGAAGAAAATTGAGGCCTGATTTACCCATGAGTGTGTCTGTATGTTTGTGTGTGTGTAGTTCCCATGTACAGCCAATGATCCATAAAGGTCTGTAGGTTTATACTCTTCTTATAGAAGCCTGTACTGTATAATCCTCAGTGAGGTGGATTGACACAATAGGCACAACAGCAGACTTAAACTTACCAACGATCATGAAGGTGGCACAGGCCCAGCCAACAATTGGTTTTATTATACATAAGCTCTCCATGAGTTGGAGCTGACTCAATGGCAACTAACAAAAACAACCTACTGAATCAATTAATTAAAAAGCAGAATATTGGCCATTTTCAATTTCTTCCAATATTTCTCATCTTTAAATTCAACTGTATTATACTGTGATTGTATAAATGACTTTCTGGCCTTTTAAAGATAATTTATCTAGCCCTAAGCAAACCAAGTCTCCAAGGCAGCTGCTCAAGAGTCACCACAAGGTGAACAAAGCAATAATCTTACGGACCAGCTAATTTGTTCGTGGACGATGTAACCTGTGCTTCTTCAGAGCCTCCTGGGTCTGACCCTAGTTTAAAGTGATTTGAAGGAGGGATAAATGTCTGGTGGACAGTTTTCTTGAAGCATTGCTAGTTACTTATTTTTAGCTTGGTTTCTAGGGCCACACTGGGAATAGATATGACATTTGGGAGACTTTCCAGTCTATCTTTTTAAAGGAAAGAAAGGAGTATTCATGTTTAAAGTATAGTCTGTAAACCACTTAAAGAGAAACCTCCACAAACCATTTTGGAGCTAAGCACGTGGATCTCGGCTGAAAGCAGAGAATACCAGAAAGATGTTTACTTGTGTTTTATTGACTATGCAGAGGCATTCAACTGTGTGGATCATAATAAATTATGGATAACATTGCAAAGAATGGGAATTCCAGCACACTTAATTGTGCTCATGCGGAACCTGTACATAGACCAAGAGGCAATCATTCAAACAGAACAAGGGGATACTGCGTGGTTTAAAATAAGGAAAGGTGTATGTCAGGGTTGTATCCTTTCACCATACTTATTCAATCTGTATGCTGAGCAGATAAGCCAAGAAGCTGGACTATATGAAGAAGAACACAGTATCAGGGTTGGAGGAAGACTCATGAACAACTTGCGACATGTAGATGACACAGCCTTGCTTGCTGAAAGCGAAGAGGACTTGAAGCATTTACTGATGAAGCTCAAAGACTACAGCCTGCAGTATGGATTACACCTCAACATAAAACGAAAATCCTCACAGCTGGACCAACATCATGATAAACAGAGAAAACATTGAAGTTGTCAAGGATTTCATTTTACTTGGATCCACAATCAACACCCATGGAAGCAGCAGTCAGGAAATCAAATGACATATTGCATTGGGCAAATCTGCTGCAAAAGACCTCTTTAAAGTGCTCAAAAGCAAAGATGTCACTTGGAGGACTTAGGTGCGCTGGACTTGAGCCCGAGGCTGCCGTGGTATTTTCAGTTGCCTCATATGCATGTGAAAGCTGGACAATGAATAAGGAAGACCGAAGAAGAATTGGTGCCTTTGAATTATGGTGTTGGGGAAGAATATTGAGTATACCATGGATTGTCAGAAGAATGAACAAATCTGTCTTGGAAGAAGTAGGATGGCAAGACTTCATCTCACATACTTTGGACATGTTATCAGGAGGGACTAGTCCCTGGAGAAGGACATCATGGTTGGTAAAGTAGAGGGTCAGCGAAAAAGAGGAAGACCCTCAACGAGATGGATTGACACAGTGGTTGCAGCAGTGGGCTGAAACATAGCAATGATTCTGAGGATGGCGAAGGACAGGGCAGTATTTCATTCTGTGGTATGTAGGGTTGCTATGAGTCGCAACTGACTTGATGGCACCTAACAACAACACGTTTGACTCCAACGGTTGCTTGAGGACATGAATCTGTATATAGAGTTTCAATTTCTGTTTCTGAGTATGTGCTTGGGAAATTGTGTTGGCTTCATTACAGGATGTGCAAGTATCAATAGTAAGTGATATAGAGCCAGCCACCCCTGACTGCAGATGCTCTGCATTATTGGCAGGCAGTAGATTAACTGAACTCAGATGGTGAATAGCAAAGTGAAGTTTCTCTGTTCCTCCAAGGAGGGACCCAGTTTTTCTGAAAGACAGATGACTACAAAGTTTTCGTCTTGCTTTTTCAGCTTACTTAAGAAAAAGGAAAGAATTTAAGATTTTATAATCATTGTCTGATTTTGCTGTTTTTAATGGGAGAGCAGCTTGATGTTGGTAATGATCTTAGTTTCCTACTGATGCTGTAACAAATATTACAAGTGGGTGGCTTTAAAGAAGACAAATTTATTGTCTCATAGTTTTGGAGGCTGAAAGTCCAGATCAGAGTCTCAGGCATGTCCATTCCTTCCGTGTAGGTAGTCCTGGGCATTCCTCGGCTCCTTGGCTTGCAGGCGATCCTCACGTGGCGTCTGTGGTCCGTGCAGCCCGCCTTCATTTGTGCATGTCTCTGTGTCTGATCTGCTCTTTTTATAACTCTGAAGTGATTAGATTTAGAACCTACCCTACTTAGGAATGATCTAATTAATATAACAAAGAAAACCCTATTTCCAGATAGGATTACATCCACCAGTTTAGGGGTTAGGATTCCAACACATATTGGGGGAGGGGGGCACAATTTAATCCGTAACAGCAATGTTGTGTTTGTGGTAGTTGAGGAAGTTCTCCCTTGGGAAAGGAGAGTGTTCCTTTCTAGTGATGAATAGAGATTTATAAAATATTTTTCTTCTTTCTGGAGAGACTATGGTGGCTTACCTCCATGGAATGATCAAACTGAAAATATGAACAAATTTCTACACAGAACTAGGGAGGACAAATAAAGTGCCAAGAGGACTCATACTGAATTGCTCTAGAACTGAATCCTGGTGAATCTCAAAATAATTATGTTGAGTAAAAGAAGCTAGACAATGTATGAGTCTACTTATATAAAATTCTAGAAAATGCAGAGTCATCTGTAGGGACATAAAGCAGATCAGTGGCTGACTGGGGATGGTGGAGAGGGGAGGGAGGGACTACAGGGGGGCATGAGGAAACTGGGAGTGATGGATATGCTCACTGTCTAAATTGTGATGGTTTCACAGGTTGTATGTATGTGTTATAACTCATCAAATTATATATTTTAAATAATACGAAATTTGTCAATTTTACCTCAATAAAATTTTTAAGAAAAGAAATAAATCCAGGTGCAGCATTTATCAAAGGACTCTTCTGAAATCAAAGGGAGGCTGCTGAAGAAAATTTCAGTTTTATGAAATACATATCTGTATGTATAAGTATGGGTACACATCTCTTGTTAATGCATATGATCTTTCTTTAGGAGTCCATAGAGGCTACTGTATTCTGTTGAAGATGTCTAACAGTAACGCTACTCAGGAGACCCTGGAAATAATGAAAGAATCAGAAAAAAAACTGGTAGAAGAATCTGTAAACAAAAACAAGCTTATATCTAAGGCTTCAAGTAAGGAAGAAATTGAGAAAGAGGGTGAAGATATCAGTTTGCGCCAGGAATCACAGGTAAGGATTAGAAGTGCATCACATATGCACGTTCTCTATACTTGAATAGAAGTGTCATTATAGGGTGGCATTGGAAATCTATGGGAAGTCAATCACTTATAGCAACAGTCTTGATTGTCCCTAAAAACTCCAGCTTCAGCTTTCAAGAAACATCTCCCTTTTTTGTTAGATTCCGCAAAGTCGTCTAAAGAGGACAGAGTGGAATCCCTAATTCATTTGGGCCTGAGTTCACTGGTTCTTGGCTACATTTGCTGCATTTTGGTATTTTCAAGCTATCAAAAAAATAAACTGTATACAAACACATTTAACAAGTCATAAAATGGCTCATACATTAAACTCTTAAAACCAGAGCTGCCTGGCTTTACACACTGTTAAATTCATACGTTGGTTGTGTTAAAGCACTCAGCATTTTCTGGGTCAGAAATACAGTCTCTGAACTTGTCACTTGGTGAATGTGAGTGAGAAGTTGCCACTTTGTTTCCATTCAAATTCATATTGCAGTACAGAAATGGTGGCAACAGATGGCCAGCCAAGCTTCTTCAAAGGTTTCCCTTTGGTGCCCAGCCAGCCTGGTATCTGAGCCTCCTCTTGCCTACCTGCTCCCGCCCTATGGTCACTCCTGGTTTCCTCTGTTACCCAAATCCAAATTAAATAAATCCTTTCCTTCATGCCCAGGGGTCAGACTGGCCTTTATTATATAGTCTTGGGAGATACTACTGTAGCAGTAGTTGGTTTAAAAAGCAGGAGCAACAACATTTTGAAGGGTTTAGAAACTTGCAGCATAATTTCTCTAAATATCCTAGTTCACCTAGATCTTGTGAGCAGCAAATATAAAAGGATAAATTAAAATCAGACAGCTCTCGGAAATATTCACTAGCTCCCTGTTTTTCTACTCTTTCCTCTTAAAGTTTGCCAGATCTCTCTCCCGAATGCTTTTCTTTCCATTATCTTTTTGCATATGAGTTAGCAGATACCATTCCCCATGCATCCTCCCAAAGTTTTGGAGACAAGACTGTCTGCCACTGTTACAACTGCACTTCCAGACTCTACTGATACCAGTAATGGATTTTAAATCCTCAGGACAAATAAATGATGGATTTTAATTATGTGTTGTCATGTTACATGAAAGATAATTAAATGAACTTTGGGTCCAAGTTATTCTATTCTCAAGAGACTGTATAAGTGGTGTTCTGAACTCCTGTTGTGTGTACTTCTTGAAGACAGACAGAAAAAAAAGGACATCTATAGGTTTTATGCTCCCTATGGACACTCACTGGTTTAACAATATCTTCACCCATCTATACAAACAGGTTGCAGGAGGGTAGTGGGGCCGTTTCCTCCTTGACTTGACTCCTCTTGCTGCTGCTAGAGTAGGTGGAGCTGCTGCTGCCATCTACTGGAGCTCCTGAGCCCTCTGCAAAGTCTTCAGTCTTATCTGCTACCCTCCATCCTATGGAGCAGTGCCTTAGGAGGCTCTCCCTGTACTAATTTCTCAACAGATCATGTGTCTCTTGAATAGCTCTAAAAATTCTCTTGTTTCTCCCACCCCAGACATCTCCCCAAGAAACTAACTGGTGCCATCAGGGCAGTCCCTGTTATAAATGGGAACTGGAAAGTTTGGGGTAAGGGGACTTCATTACTTGTACTGTGTGAGATATATTCTTGGATCAGCAATTGTAACTTGGAACATCTTTTCCTTGGGAAAGCGCTGCAAAAGATAGGTTCTGAGATTCCGTTAGAAGAGGCAAGCCTTCACTTAACACATACTGAATTTAGGTGTGTCATTTAAATAACCATTTGAATAACTGGGTTTTTTTGCACTGGCCTCCTAACTGGGCTTTCTGCCTTTAAACTTGTAATCCTTTCTGATTCATCTGTCATACTGCTTTATGGAGATGGTTGTGAAATAAAGATCTCATTGTGTTAATTCCCTTCTTCAGACTACTTCTGTTTGTCTCATTGCCCTAGGCTAAATACCAGATTTCTCAGCATGGCTTATTGTGACCTATTACATTGCCTGCCATCCATCTGCCTCTGACATCCTATGCTTCAGCCTTATCTGATTCCTTGGTCTTTATTATAAAGGGGAGCTAAAACGTTTGGGGAAAGCAAGCTTTGGTATGTGCTTTCTCTGCCTAGAACGCTCTCCTTGGTATTCTTTCCATAGCCTCATCTAACCCCTGCTCCCGCAATGTCTGTCTAAAAAGCCAGACCCACTACTGTTGAGTCGATTCTGACTTGTAGTCACCCTATAGGACAGAGTAGAACTGCATCATCTGTCTGCTACCTATTTATCCTTCAAAACTTAATCCAAGTGTGTCTTTCTGCAAGAAGCCTTCCTTAACAACCTTACTCACCAGGTCTATACTCATTACATAATTCTTCGTCTAATGTCTCTGTCCTTCACATAGCTATAAGCTCCGTGAGACCCAGGATTAGGTCAGTTTTGGCTTCCCATTGTATCCCTGAGATGTAACATAGTGCCTTGCACATAGCAGACATTCAGTATTTGTGAATGTATGAATATATGTATTACTAGGTCTGAGTTAGATGCTTCTGCTGTATGCTCCTGTAGTACTCCATGTGCACCTCTGGAATGCATTTAATATGTTATAATTGTCTATTTGTCTGTCTTCTCCAACAGGATTATGAGTTTCTTTTTGACAAGGTTTGTGTCTTTTATCTCTGTATCCCCCAGTAGCTAGCATAGTGCCAGGTACATGTTAGGCTTTCAATATGTGTTTGACTTCCTGTTAAATGAAAACTGTCCATTCTGGGAAATAAGCACATTTAAAGAGTGTAAATTGGTACAATCTCTTTGAAAGAGATTATAAAAATGAAAAAACATACTTCTAGGAATTTATCCTGTAGATATACACTGTATTTGTAGGTATACTCAAGGATCTGGTCACTGAAGTATTATTTATAGTAGTAAAGGAACAGGAACATCCTAAACGGTGCAATTTAAGGGACTAGTAAAATAAGTTATGGTATAGCCACACAATGGAATACCATGTAACCATTAAGAAAAACAGGGTAGATCTTCTATAGAATGATATCCATAAAAAAAAGTTAAAAAGCAAGATTCAGAGCAATGTGTACAGTATACTTCTGTTTGGTTAAAAAATAACTGTGTGTATGCACGTGCTCATGAGCTTATATATACGTAAAAGATCTCTGGAAATATCTACAAGAAAACTTAATAGTGGTTAATCCATTAGGAGAGAACCTAAAGCTGGGAGTCAGATACAAAAGGGAGATTTATTATTATATTTTCCTCCATTATACCTCTTGAATGTTTGTACCGGCGCTGTATTTTTACACAAATAACACGTGTGGTATACTTTTTTTTTTTTCCAACCACACAACCCTTCAAGCATTATTTTCCTAGGCGCACTTTGTGCGTTTTATATGTGTAGGCGTGTTATTTACGTGGGCACGTTATTTGCAAAAATGCAGAATATGTACTACCTATTTGAAAAAATAATTACAAATACTGCTACAAATTCCTGAACCACGACTCTGCCTCTTGCTGCAAACAGATCTTGTCACTGATTAGATCCACCATTTCTTACTCTTTCCATCCACTATCACGTTTCTTCATTTTGCCTTCTGGCAGTGTTGTTTGGTAACTAGTAACAAAGACCAAAGGAAAGAGAAATCCCCACCTATCCAGTACCATGCTGGTGCTCTGCCTCTGTCTAGTTTCCTCCCTTCCAGCCCCCAGCCTCAGTTCTCTGAGTTTTATTATAAATATCTTGTAACTTCTAAGTGCCTCATCCTATATATAACCTATTACCTCCTCCCAAAAGCCCCTATTCTGGCTTCTCAGCTGCTCAGAAACCTTATCAATTAATTGTTTCTTCCCTCATCCCACCTCAGGTCCTCATTCTTCATCTTCCTCAGCTTCTATTCTGCTCCTTATCCACTCTCGCTCCCCTTTGCTCTGGATGTCTTGTCTCTGTCTTCCCTCTTACCCTGTCCCATCTTATATCCCTGACCCAGACAGGCTATAAGAGCCACCACCAGGAGCTTACAACTGGGAGAATTCTCATATTTGTTGAGGGAAACAATTGAGAAGAAGAGTCTTCATTCTATTTCTGCAGCCACAGGAACAGGAATTTTACGTATCTCAAGTTTGAACTCTGAATGTGTTGTCCTTTAAGGATGTTATTATAAGTGATGGCTAAGGGTCATAGTTCACTGTCTGTTATAGGCTAGATAGGCTTCTGGGTGCAAGCCTGGGGGGAAAACTCTCTCATGCTACAGAAATGACATCTCCAGATGCATCCTAATCAGGAAAGGAATCCATGGTTTGTCCAAAAGTAATTTTTATCAGTCTGTGAAATGGGCCAACCAGTCAGTGTTTTCCTACTCTTTATTGCCATGGTGAGTGGTGATTTGACCTTGGGTGGTCTGTAGTCCCTTCTGTGTTGCAGTTGCTGGAGTTGCAGTATAGAGGGGCAGCCACACCCGTGGTTCTCAGCATAGTTCGGCTATTGCTGTAATGGCTTTTACTGTTAGTGATTTATTTTTATTTTTATTTTTTTATAAATATGTATTGCTTTTAATTTAAGTGTTGATTTTCCCCACTTCCCATTCTAACAGAGGCGGACATCCAACCATGGTCATGCCAGGAAAAGAGCGAAGGTGAGATCCCTTCTGCTACAGCTTCTTTACTTGTGTAATTAGTAATACTTTTTACAAATGTCTAGTTTATTCAGATCATATATAGGCAAATTGTTCTTGCCTGCATTTTGTATCTTAATGGTACACACGTGCACACACACACACAGACACACGCACATTTCCTCTTGGTCTCGTTTTATTTTTCTCCAGTATCTCTAGTTCTGGCAGAGTCTGTTTCTGATACCTGAACGGATACCTGACTGGAGCCTCCCAACAGAACCTGAGTGAATTGGTACTGGCTCTGCTGAAATGCCAGTTTCTCTGCTCAGCCATTGCTTTTCTAGGAGGATGGATGCCATAGAAGTCCTTTTTGGGTTTTTTGCCATGTCAGTTTTCCTTTAAGATCAATCCTGCCCCATTAGTAGAAATGATTCAACATTTTCGGACATCCTAAAAATACAGGCATTTTTTTGATGTTTCACTTTTTAGGTTAGGGCAGGGAGGAGGATTTTGTTTTTAATCATTGTAGAATAAAATTAATACAGCACAGATTATTTTAAGCAGAGTTATCAGAGAAGACTGTATGTGTTAGTGTATGATAGCTTTTTAATTAACTAGGGAACAGCAAAATATTGAAATTGTCTTGCAATGGGAAGAATTGTCACCAGAAGTAATAATTAAGGGTGCACACCCCCTTCCACCAGAAAAATAATGGCAAAATTTGGAGTGACAGAGCCAGTGTGTGGCCTGGGTTTGAAGAAGACCAAGAAGTATGGTAAATGGGCTCTGTCCTGCCCTACATGACCTAATCCACAGTGATGGGTGTAATGTTGAAGTTCAAACCAAAGGGTGCTGCTCACTGCTGCTTGGTTTCCTTCCATACTTTTTGAGATAAGTAAGATAGTTATTATCTTCATTTTACAGATAAGGGTATGGGCTTATAGAGATTGAGTGACTTGACAAAGGACATTGAGTAGTATAAGTGACAGAACTAGGCTTGAATTCAGTTCTTCAGACTCACGAGTTCTTTTCACTGTATTGTTACCTGGAGTGCACATACCATGTTTGGTGCTTTTATATTAACTATAAACCTTGGTTTTATTGTAAGAACGCTCAATAAATGTTAATAGATGCATTTCTAATTAGTCACTGTATAATTTTTGGCTTTGGGGATCCCTAGCAGAGCAGTGATTTGCACTGTGGATTTCAGATCTTTTTTGGGATTTTCCCACCAGCTGAAGTAAACCAGGTGGATTAGCCTTTTATAGCATTAAATTCTCAGTGGTTTGTTTTTGTTTTTTGTTTTTTTTTTTTTGGTCTTTCTTTTCATTCTTAGACATTTCTTCCCATACCCTTGCCACCTCAGGTTTAGAGTCATTTAACATTTATTTTCACTACTGTATGCCAAGGACCCTCTGTGATATGTATGTTTACATACTTTGTATCATCAAATTCTCACAACAGCCCTTTAGATATTTTTATCCCAGTTTTATTGAAGAAAGAACAGAGACACAGAGAGCTTAAATAATTTTCTCAGAGTCTTCTAGCTCCTAAGTACAAAACGAGGAGTTGAAGCTAGGCCTTCAGGCTCTCAAATCCACTGTCTTTCTACTATGCCATACTGCTGAGTATTCATAGTAAACTTCTGAGTCTGAAATTGGAGCATTGGGCTTGAAATAGAGAGGGCTAAGTGAGGTGGTTTTCCTGCCATCTATCCAGAATAGCCCAAAAAATGGACATATTTTTACATGTCTACTGCTGCAAGCAAGAGAATAATCTTTCAAGTGAACCAGGAGCTGATGAGTAGGACTTATTTGAAAGAAAAAAAAAACAAAAAACACTTTAATGGAAACAGTAACAGAGCCAAATAGCCAAATAGTATACCCTTCATTCAGCCAAAAGCGTTGTGAATGCCCACTAAGAGAATATTTACGCGTATTTGGTTTTTCCAGTCTAATTCCAAGCTGAAGTTGGTGCGCAGCCTGGCAGTGTGTGAAGAGTCCTCCACCCCATTTGCTGATGGGCCGCTAGAAACCCAGGTAGGTCGTTTACAGGAGTAAGTGCAGTTTTTGAGTTTGGCATTGTTTGGTAAAGTGTAGTATAGCAACCAGCAACATCCAGTATCAAGCTTGGAAATCAGGGCAGAAGGAGCTTCAAAACAAAAGCTGTTGCAGTAAAGCAAGACATGGGTGAGATCATGAAGTGTAGGCCTTCACACCTGGACCACTAAGATGATGCAGACAAGGGCATCCTGGTCTGGGTCTTGTTTTCCCACCCACACCCTTCCTCTTCAGTGGTAAGAACCATTTCCATCCAATTCCTATTCCAGGAACAGCCAGTAACTTGAGCTCTCCATGTAGCAGGCTGTGACTGCTAGCAGAAAAGGCTTAGCCTCTACCTTTTGATAGAATAAAAGCTCAAACAATTTAATTGACAAAATAACACTCTTCTATAAGAGAAAGCTGCCACCCCAAGATTTGCCACCTTTGAGATTCCAAAGGAGCTAAAGGACAATTAAAATCCTTATTTTCCCCCTTTGCTTATATTCCTCTTTCCCCTTGTCCAAGGATATAATTCAGTTACATATCAGTTGCCCCTCTGACAAGGAGGAGGAAAAGTCCACAAAGGATGTCTCTGAAAAGGAAGACAAGGAGAAAAATAAAGAAAAGATCCCAAGGAAGATGCTGTCCAGAGGTGAGGACTTTCCCCCTCTCTCGTCTGTCCTAGCACCTGGCTTTGCAGTGGCTTTCTGTCTGTCCTGAAGCCTGGCACCCACTGGCCTTACTGGCCCAACAGCTGACTGCTTGGTTGCTTGGGGAGGTGGCTAACTAGGTTACTTTCTGTGCTTCTTTAACCAGCCCTGCCTTAGAGAGCTACTCCATCTGCACTGGCCTACTCACAGGAATACATTTTAGTCAATTCTGATTTTATTTGTGCTTCTGGAATAAACAGTGACATGGATTATCACTGGTAGCAGATCCTCCAAATACCATTTATGTCTTGGTTTTGGGACCTGGAGTGATTTTTTTTTTCAAATAATGAACATTTACCTCTATTTATTAGGCTGTCTTTGATTTTAAACTTTTGAGCTCAAAGGAAAAAGACATAGTCCATAAAAATGATATAGTTGGCAGCAAAAAGGCAACCTTGGGATTAAAAAATTGAAGTGAATCATCCACAAAGTGAATGAGTCATCATAAATAATCAACATTTGAGCATATTTGGTGAGATTCTAGAAAATTCAGCCCTGACTGCCCTTACCTGGAATTTATTTTCCATTCCTAGACTAAAACATACTTTGGTTTGGTCATGGCATTCCGTAAATACTTATTGACGATAAGGTGGCTTTTTAGTGTAGTACTGATGCAACATTGTGACCCAAATTCCTCATTCTGTCGTGGTCATGGGGAACTTTGTGGGGCTGGCAGATCAAGATCATTCTAGTTTTTAATGCTACAACCCCTGAAGTTTGATTCTACTTTCTTGTTCTCCTGTCTCCTGATCAGGCTGTAGGCTTCTGCTTGGAGTCAGGTATGCACGACAGTTTCATTTATTTTAAATTTCTTTTGTTATGGTGGTTCTAGACTCCAGCCAAGAGTATACGGACTCCACTGGAATAGACCTACATGAATTTCTTGTAAATACACTGAAAAAGAATCCAAGGTAATAACATGATTTGGTGGAAAGGGGAAAGGGTCAGGGGCTGTCAGGATACAGAAGAGGCCAAGCAGCTTCCCAGAATTTTTTTATTATTAGAATCTAGGATGCCCATCCCTTACCACCATCTCTCTCCAATGTAGTTTTATATTCTGTGAAGGATTCAAAATACCCTCAGATTGAGGTTTATTTTTTTGGAGATGTTGAGGAAAATGCTGTGGAAAAAGAAAGCAGGAACAAGGAAATGTGAAGACTTGGAAGTGCACTATGATAAAAAGTACAGAAGAAAAAAATAATTAATTTATACATAAGCTAAATTATAATTGCTTAAAAATTCTATAAATAACCAGATGGAATGATTAAATTTATAAGAGTGAACCATATGAGTATGGTTGCCAGTGAAATTGGATCTCTGATATGGAAAACGAAGTGCATGATTAGGAAGGAACTGCAAAATGTATATTTGGGTTGTTTTTTTCTTTTTCAAAACACTGTAGGACAGGCTGGTAAAACTGAGTAGTTTTTGAATTACAGTCCGCTATTGGGGTTGGGATATATCCCTCCCTTCATCTTCTGTGATGAGCAAGTTGCATTTTCAGTCCCTGCTTTCAGTGTCTGTGGAAGGGCTGCTTTTTGTTTTGTTTTAATCTTTTTTAAACAGGGACAGAATGATGCTGCTAAAATTAGAACAGGAGATTCTGGACTTTATTAATGACAACAAGTAAGTATTTGTATGAAATACACATTTAGTGGTGGGAGGGGGCACTGGAAAGAAATTTAGGTATAATTTTAGGACATCTCTCCCTCATCTTTCTCTTAAAGTCTGAATTTTGAGGTAATTACTCACTGGGAACCAAAAGGAGTTGGGGAGAAGCAATCACAATGGGATAAAAAATCATGTGTGTGAAAAACAAAGTGAGGTTTTTAAGTTATTTGCATAGATTTGAGTTGAAAAAGAGGTTGTATCTTTTCAATACCTAGTCCTTGTCCCGGTTTTCACTATTTCTTAAGTCTCTCCCTTTTTCTTTATAGCACATCATCCAGGTGGGTGAGACTTATAGCTTAAGGAGTATTCCTAATGAGGATAGTGGGTCAGAGTGATCTGCAAAATACGGTAGATAAAGCAGCTGAGAGAAGCCTTTTTGGTTCTCGCTGAGTAAATATCTATCTTTGTAATGAAGAGACCTTGTTTACTGGTCTCTTTCACCTAAGAAATTCCCGAATTTTAGACACTGGTAAGAAAAAGTACAGTTGGCTGTTATTGCTGGTCTTTGCCCTTACTTTACTTTTTTCCCCGGGATTTTCTTCAGTAACCAGTTCAAGAAGTTCCCTCAGATGACCTCATATCACCGGATGCTATTACACCGGGTAGCTGCCTATTTTGGGATGGACCACAATGTTGATCAAACTGGAAAAGCTGTCATCATCAACAAAACCAGTAACACAAGAATGTAAGGGTTTGTGAAGACTTTTCTGGGATAACCTACTGGGGTGGAAGAAGAAGGTATAGGATCAAGAGCTCCCTTCTAGGGAAGGGGCGTTGTGGAGAGCTATATCATCAATTCCCTCATGTGTAACTACTCCATTCAAGGCCTCAGGGATAGATTTTAGAGGGACTGGTGTTTTGTGAAGACCGGCACTGGCCTCTCTTCACCTTCACCGATAGGAAGAGGATAACGTTGGAGCAAGTTATAGACCTATAAAGAACAGCCTAAGGATTTCATTAAAACCTTTAAGTGACTTTTTGGATGCCCAACTCCAGAAACCCCCTGAGTAGAAAGTTGTGGAATATAAGAGAGCTGTATCTAGGAGGTCGGCTTCCTAACAAAAGGGTCTTTTTCCTCCTTTTCTTCCACATTTTTCTCCCAATCCCAGTCCTGAACAGAGGTTCTCAGAACATATAAAGGATGAGAAGAATACAGAATTTCAACAGAGATTCATTCTCAAGAGAGATGATGCCAGTATGGACCGAGATGATAATCAGGTGAAGAATGGAAAAGGGTGGGCCTATATAGAGAGATTGCAGTATGAAAAACTGGGAGGGGAGAAGAATTTTTGTGGGATAGAGAAAACTCAAAATATCTTAATGTGGAAGAAAGTAGTGAGCTATACTGAGTTGGCTTTGGCTTAATGTTGAGGAGTGACTATACTTGTTGAGGTGAATGCCACCCTCTTCGCCCCAGAGAGACATGGTGCTGAGGTTTGCTGGGTTTTCTCATTTGGCCTGGAACTCCCTGGCTTTGCCACTGACTTCTAACTCCAGGTCATTGTGGGACAAAGCAAGGTCCCTACCTGCTTCAGCCTTGATCCAGCTTTTGGTTTCATTCCTTTTTTCTTTAATAGTTAGGGATTTCTTTGGAAATCACCAAAAGCTACTTTACCCCACTTCCACTCTTAACCTAGCTCAAGACTAGCCTTGAACTGGCAAAGTTGTGATCTAACTTATCCACTTACAAAAGGTGTTTCTGACTCCTTTCTGCAAACTCCTTAATCTTTTCCCAACTCCTTCCACCAAGGTGAGTGAGTTAATTTGACTTTTGATGCTGGGAATCTCAGGCAGTATCCCCTTTGTAATTCACCCCTGTGGGAATATGAACAATCTGCCCCATCCCTTCATTTATCAGTCTGACAACCTCTGGTAACAACCTTTAGGTAAGTTATTATTTGGGTGTTAGTTTGCCTAGCTAAATAGGTTTAGATCCAGCCTACTTCTGTTTGGCCTCCAAAGGGAATTACATAGAGAATAGGATTAAGATTTGAAGAACGTGATTGGGTAGAGCCAATATGATTCTTGCTAATTAATGATAATTGTAATAATATCTTACCTCTAGAGTCAAAATTAGCTTTCTTGCGATACTGTATGGTCCTGAGACCAGGACCTTTCCTGCTTGCTACTTGAGTATTTGAGGGAGTCCTTTTGAGAAAAGTGCCATATCTATTGTGGACAAACACACTGGGTCTGATTGAAAGCAAAGAAACATAAACAAAAATTTAAAAACCAAGAAAGAGCCTTTCCATCCTGATGCCCTTCTCTCCATTTTCCCAAAACGCTTTTTCTGTGGATCAGGAATTATTCAGGCCTAGAGGCACATTGGCATGGAGTGAATTCTGTCCCTATTGTGAACTTTTCAGCTCTCAGCTTCAGGCTTGATCCATAATAGGGTAGATGCTATGCACTTTCTGTCTGTGGTATTAATAGTAAACATAGTAATTGCTATTTTATTGAGTATCTTCTTTGACCTAGACTCTGTTCTAAACATGTTACATGTATTCTTTTTTGATCCTCTCTACAATCCAATGTAGATGGGATTAGCCCGACTTTAAATATCAGAAAACTGAGGCTAAGAGAGATTAAGTTATTTGCCTGAAGTAATGTTACTGGGAGACGTCAAAGCTGAGATTCTGCCTGACCTCAAAGCCCCTTTATGATCTTTCTGTTCAGCCACTCTGCCACTGGTTTATAAGTACGAGGGGTTAAGGAGGATATAACTCCTCATGGTCCTGTGTCTTCTTGGAATCAGGTTTGTAAAAGGACATTTAGTAGAATTTAGGTTCTTGAGGCTAGTGAGAACTAAATGTAGTCAAAGTTGATACTCCTAAAGTTATGGCTATTTCCGGAGACTGGTGAAGGTCAGCCTACAGCAGCAGTCTCCTTCATATTGCTTCGAAGCTTTCAAAGCCTTTGGATTGAAGATCAGACTCTTTTATGACCTGATGACATTCATTTGTCATCTCCCTCAGAGCTCCTTGCCTTCAAGAACAGTATGGGAAAGGATACTCTTAACACCCTTCCCAGGACAGTGTTCACAAATAGCAGGACAAGAGAAGACAAGACAGTGATGGAGAGTTGGGTGGTAGGCTAGCCAGAGGTGGAGGAATGGCCTGTCCAGCCACCCCTTCTAGTCACCACACTACATTTTTCAGAGAATGTAAGGTTCTCTATCCTGTTTCCTTCTTTTGCCTTTCCATCTCTGTCTCTCCCCTACCTCCACCATACCTGATTTGTCTGTTCCTTTTTCTGTCTACCCTTCTTTCTGTTCTAGTCTTCTTTTCTTTCTCTTTCCCTCTTTTTGTTGCTCTGTTCTTTCCTCATCTCTGTAATTCCTCTCTCTGTGTCCTTACTCTCCAGTGGCAAAGTTAAGATGAGAAAAAAATGCTTAGACTTTGAGTTTAGCTTCGCCCTTGGAATTTCATTTCCAAGGCTGTCTTTGCTGAGCTGTGTGTGACTTGGATCTTCAAGGTCATGACATTAGTGACTAAGAAGGGATAATGTCAGGTGCTAGTTTTGTAAACCTCCTCCTCTATAGCCAGCTCTGCTAAACACCTAAATGTTCCTTCTCCCTCTCTGGCTTCTTTCTATCCTTTGCTTTCCCTCCAAAGCAATGTTGTTTATTTTCCCAGGGCTATTTTCTTGATCCTTGCTGACTGGAAAGCACTTGATTACTATAGGAAAGCAACCTGGTCCTTATAAATAGTTGCGGTTCTTGATTCTCTGGGGGGTGGGGAGATGGAGAGCCCCCAACCATCCAGAAAACCTGATCTCCCAAACTGCATGGTCAGATGTACCCAGTGAAACCTGTCCAGGATTGGAAATTTTATTTCTTTTTTTTTTTTTTTTTTTTTCCATTTTTTTGATGGCAATTATAAACTCTCCCGATTTCTCTTCCTTGCTGGTGTGCAGTGAGCTTGCAGTACGAGGAGAACTTAACTAGCTTAATTCTGCTCATCGATCTAGATCAGAGTTCCATTGCAGGATGGAAGGAGGAGCAAGTCAATAGAAGAGAGAGAGGAGGAATATCAAAGGGTCCGAGAGAGAATATTTGCCCGAGAGGTAAGTGTAGCTTCTGAGAGTTGTCAGCCCATAGCTTTTAGCGCTTAATCTTTGGAACTGTGAATGGAATGGAATGAACCCTCCATAAATGTTTTTTTGTTTGGTTTGGTTTTTAAATAACCAACATCAGCCAGCCCCAGATTTATTCTCTAAAATTAAAAGTGGCTTACTGGGAAGCTACTGATTTTTAGTTTGTACATTCTGCTCTACTGCATACAAAGGGAACTAAAACTTGGAGTGGCTGAATTTGGTAGATATGACTAGACTGAATATAGAAATGGTTTTGGCAGGGCTTATGGAAGGGCCCTGAATCTTGCCTGCCAAATCCTCTCTCTGCTTACCCTCTTTCACTCCCGCTGTCTATTTTAGGCATCTTTGCTTCTAAGTGGAAGACTTAGTGTCCATGCAGCCTGTACATTCATCTTATTTGGCCAGCTCTGTATTTAGAATATGTTGGTAAATATTAGAGCACAAGTCTAGCATCCATCCTCTGTGAGCGCCACATTCCACATGCATAGAGGGTACCACTATTCCCTACGGTCCCTACCTAAACAGGAAGTCTCTTTCTTCCTATGTTTCTTACCTTGCTTGTTTAGAACAGGAGTGGCTCTTTGGGCCAAAAGGCAACCTGCATCAGTTTAGGCAGCTTTATTCGTAAGAGTCGTTAGCCATATCATACATGCTTGGTACTCCTGTATCTGATTGCCTTTGCCTTCCAGGATGATGATTAGTATAGCAGAAATTCAGGAGAGGGAGTGAGTAGACAAGAGAGGAACAGATCTCCAGAAAATAGAGGATCCAGATAGCGGCACCATCTCACAGTCAGCTTAACAACCCAGGAGGAAAAGCCAACCTCACTTCATTGTCAAAAAATTGCCAGTTCTAATCAGTATACTTAGATGGACACTACTCTCCTCCTATTCCTCACACTCCTCTCCCTCAGCAAAACAAAAAAACATGTCTTTTCATCATCACCTAGCTCAGAAAACTACTGTCTCCAACTTCAAGAAAACTGAACTCTCCTATGAACTTGCTCCATTGGCTCAGGAGACCCAAGTGCTTCCAAGAATCCTCACTGGAGACAGCTATGCAACAAGCCTTTTGGCCCAAAGACCAAGAAGAAGGAATCTGCTTACTGTCTGTTAATATAGATTGCATCTGAGTCAGAAAAATCCTTCCTCAAAATTAGCCAACCAGTAACCTTAAGAGGATTGCCTATGTCTACTTGCAAACCAGTTGGGTGAAATGAAGGAGAGATGTCATTTGTATATGGCTATGGTCAGTTATGATCCTAAATTGTGGACAGAGCAGGTTGATGGATAATAATTGCAAACACTTACATAGTGCTTATTATCTTTCAGGCACTGTTCTAAGCACTTTATGTAGATTAACTCATTTAATCCTTACACCAGGCCTGTGAGGTAGGCTTCATTATTTTCTCCATTTTGTAAATAAGGAACTGAGGCACAGAGAGGTTAAGTAACCACCTAAGGTTGCACTGCTAGTTAGCAGAAGAGCTAGTATTTGAATTCAGGCAGTCTGGCTCCAGAGTCCATGCTTTTAACCCCTAAACTAATTAACCACCTCTTGATAGCTTGCTCTACTCTGGAATCTTTAAATTAAGAAATACCAGTGGCATCATAGCTTAGCTGACTTCTCTGATGTGCTCTTCTGCTTCACTGACACATGAAAATGACTGCCCCACTGTTCCAGACATTAGCAAAGCCATGGTTGTTGTAAAAGCATAAACAACTTTAAGTAGGGTTATTGGGGCTGGTTATCAACAACACTGGAATATATCAACCTACAGTCATAACAAAGGCAAAGTTATCTCTTCTCTGCTTTTTTCTTCTGATTTCTAGTCTTATCAAGCCTCTTCTGACATATGTATTCTTTGTTAAATCTTTGTAGATTGATCACTTTCATTTTAGCACTTCCTGACTCTTGCCATGGTAGAGGCATCAGGAATCTCAGAAGGTCTAGACAAGGAAAAATGGCCAAAGCCCACTATACTCAAAATTTCCACATAGAAGGGAGCCTGGCCAGCCAAAGGAAGCTGATTAAGGGTGGAGTTGTAGGTTCTGGGGAAAGGAGGAGCAAGAGACAAGCTAAAAAGAAAGAGAAGTGGCAAGAAGGGTGTTTGGATGGAAATGCTGCTGCTGCAGCCTTCTCTGGAGCCTGAGCTGTATGTTGGGAAAACTGCCCAACATAGGCTCTGCCCAATGCAGAGCCCACTCTGCTCAGCAGCTGGATACTCTTGGTACTTTTTCCTAAGGCTTGGGAGTCCATCATGATGCTCACTTCACTCAGCTCAGTGGCTTTGTCAGGAAATGATCCCCAAAGGGAATGTTTCAGACTTTTAATTTTCTCATTTTTTCTAGGCTCCTACCCATTTTCTACCCTCCTTGGGTCCCAGGCGTGAATGTTTTTCATTTTGGCCAGTGTAGAGGACAGAAATGGAATAGCCATTGAAGATGATTTCCAAAGAACTAAGTTTCTTTCTCTTGTGTCCCTTCTCCCTTCGTTTGAAGACACTCTTTAAGACCAAGCACACCAATTGTTTTGCTCAGCTTCCCATTAGAGAGAATAAATTTAAGTCTAAAAAGGAAGTAATAGTTAATACTTTCCTTTTCCCCCTTTCCATACTCCTACCTGTATCAACCTCTCTTTTTGAACACTCTGTGGAAAGGCGAAAAACAACCTAATGCTCTTTCCCATTAAAGGTGAGAAGTCAGATTGGGCGTGTGGGTGTGGGTCATCCTTTCCCGGCTCCTTCTCTCCCTGTTGGTGGGGTGAGCTTTGGTTTGAGGACCTTGGGTATTCATAGCATCATGGACACCCTTTTTGGTTATGCCATGCTGTTTTCTTATAAGTTATTTTCCGTTTTCTCCCCTTCACCTAGACTGGCCAGAACGGATATCTAAATGACATCAGGTTAGTACCACTTAGCATGTTCCCTGCTTTTCATTGAGCTTTTGTCAGTGAGGTTAATATAATCCTGTAATGATGCTTTTCTTTGATGTTAACCAACAGACTCTCCAAAGAAGCCTTTTCTTCTAGTTCTCACAAGAGAAGGCAGATTTTTAGGTACCTCTGTGTGATCTATCTCTCCTTTTTTTTTTTTTAAATTTTATTTTGTTTTGCTGTAATCTTTTCAGCGGAGTGAGTTTGCGCCATGCATGGCTGCTTGTGGAATAATTCAACTTGTGGTTTTTGCAACATTGGATTGTTTTTCCCCATTTAAAAAAAAAAAAAGACTCCTTCTCAGTGACTTTATTTATTCCATTTTGAGCCCTAGATAGGTAGTGAAGGGCATCCAATAGGTGTGTCTGGGATAGGACCTGCTCCCTCCCAGAGGTTTGGTGGAACTGGGCATTTTTATTAAGGTCAAAGAATGGGAATATTCTGGCTACCTTTTCTGAATGTGTGAAAAGACATGGGGAGTTTTTCCTTGACCCAGCATAGAGAATGTTTTGTACCTTTAAGAAAGAATAGTACACTCATACACACATATAAACATACATACAAACATCTCTGTCTGTTGATAGTTTTCTCTTTGAGACAACGTATGGGCAAGATGACCTCAGAAAGGACCTTTCTCCATTAGAATGGACTTAGAACGTGTTCTTTATTTGATTGTCCATAATTACTTGCTCTTAGTGCTGATGAAAACTGCTGTGTTAACTTCCCCAGTGCCTCATAGTCTCCATTTTCCACTTAATCATGAGACTCTCGCTTTCATTTTAATCTCTCAGTCCCACCCTGGAGGATTACACAAGGCATTGATGACACTATTTTAAGGCCCTGTCCTGGTACCAACTCACTTTAAGTATATTCTTCCCATTTCTATTGTACGAGTAGAAAACCTATAAAATACAAACAACTTGAGTATTTAACACTAGGATTCAGATCTCCCCCTTTCTAAAGGGTTTCTTTCTGTTTGAACCCTGAGCTAGGAAGGAATTGACTGATTGAGATTAGTTAGACATCTTATTCCTGATCTTTTAGTTGGCCTTCCTAGTTGTCCTTTCTAAAACTAGTCAAACCACATGGAAAGTGATTCTTAGGATGAAGGATTTATTTCCTTTTCCATATCTCTGAACTCTTTTTTTCCTAGACCATCCTGCCCTGAGGCCCATCTGAAAACCCCAAGCAGATGGGGCTCCACACTGTTGATGGGGGTAAAGGATAGAGTCCCATAATTTTTTTTTTTAACTTTTGCTCCATATTCCATATTTTAGGGTCATCGATCATTTCAGGATGCCTATAATAAATAGGAGTTTTAAAGTCCTATGGACTCTGTGTGTGACTTAATGCACAGTGCTTTAACATTACCAAAATATACTTTATCTGATTCAGTTCTCTCACATCCTGGTTTGGTATCTGTCTGGTGGGTGAGAGGCCTGTGGAAGAGGTGGTAATAAATATTAGTAAGCCTCATTGTGGCTTATTTATCAACGGGGTAGAATCTTCCAAAGTGATAGGAAGTTACCATAGTTATTGCCAATCTGGATAATGGCACTTGATGCACTGGCATTTCACAAACACAGATTTGGGAAGAAAGATATAAAGTAGCTAGAGAAGATAGGCTTCTAATCATCCAAGTTCTGGCCTAGCTCAGAAAACAAAAGCAGAGGGATTTAGTGGCTAGCCCATTTCCATGGCTATTAGTGGCAAAGCTGGGACTGACTTCTTGTCCAGTGTTCTTTTCACTATACCACTCCAGCTCTCTACAGCATCACACCTTCCTCTCTGAGTAGCGTTCTATTCGGAGCCCTAATTCATATTCATTGCTAAGAATGATGCCCTTATTAGTGCCATGGAGCATCAAACTACATTAAACTGTGCAAACAATAGCCTTAAGGATCTGGTGAGCAGATGCAGCCCTCTCTTTTCTAGACCTCCTTTTAAGCTATTGATTTTCATACTGAGCTTTGATTAAAGATCTAGGTCATCTAAAATGCAGCTTCATGGACTCTTAAGGGGGTAACTTCTTCCCCTATTTGGGGACCGGGCCAGAACTTGGATGATTAGAAGCTGATATGATTAGTAGCTGATAGCTACTTTATATCTTTCTTCCCAAATCTGTGTTTGTGAAATGCCAGTGCACCAAGTGCCATTATCCAGATTGGCAATAACTATGGTAACTTCCTAACACCTTGGAAGATTCTACCCCGTTGATAAATAAGCCACAATGAGGCTTACTAATATTTATTACCACCTCTTCCACAGGCCTCTCACCCACTCCCCAGACCCAACAAACTGGACTTTTTAGCAGCACTCAATCTACTTGATAAAACTAAACCAGCTCTACTTTTACAGGAGTAAGAGATGTGAATGCTCTTTGCCCTTTACCCCCGTCTCACCAACACACACTCACAACCCAGTGCAGTGCCCAGAATTGAGTCTGAGTAGCTTTTCCTAGCTGCCTTATTTTTAGCGAAGTTGGACATAAATTACTAAAGATTAGGTTTAGTTGCAGAGAAGGAAAACTAATGTCTTTCCTGGCCAAGACTCACCCTAGATTCTCTAACCCTCATGGGAATAGTGTTCTAATCCAGGTTAGTCAGAAGACCATCAGGCAATCCACAGTTTGAGCATTTGGCCATCACTGTCTTGGGAGAATGGATGAGTACAGAAGTGCTGCCACTTTGGCCCAAGCTTTCCCAGGGTGCTCAGTTTAAAGTTGCCTCATTCACTGTCTACCTCTGGTAGAAAGAGAAATTAAATGGCAGGATTGCTACAACAGAGCAATAGTGTTTGATTTAGGTGGAAAAGTTCATTAGGACTTGTCTTGAAAAATTTAATCTCTAATGTCTTAAATTCAGAGCAGCTTTATCCATTGCCACTGCAGTATCCCTTTCCCCCACAAACACACACGTCTTTATTGAGTCCACTCAGTAGACTTGCCTTTGTCCATTGAGGCAAAGAGCTGTTGGTTCTCATTTCAGATCTGGTTCTATTCCTAGAGATTCCCTGATTCACACTTCTTTCCCATTCTGGTTTTGACACCTCTAAGAGAAAAAGATAAAGTTTTGGGAACGCAGGAATGTTTCCCAGTCCTCAGTTCTAACTTTGTGTAGAGAAGCATTGAGATTATATATAAATGTGCCTGGGTTTGCTGAGAAGAAGAATTAGCATGTTTCTAACCAGCTCTGCTAAGGTGTTCTTAGCTTACCATGATTGGCTTGGCTAAAAGGTAGAACAGTTGACCCCAGCACATATTTTGCCCAGTTTCCCTACAATGCTTTTGGAGCAGGTGGGGTAATACCTTGCTTTTTTAGAATAATTCTGAGCTTAGTGTCTTTGGTCCTAAGAGAATTGAGTTGAGGTTTCCTATTTGCTTTTGGTGGGATGGTGGTGAAAAGAAGGGAGCCCAGGCTACTATGATTTTTCCTTAATTGCTTCCTAGTATACATACCAAACCCTGTGATTGCCATTTGATTTCCTTAGGTCATTAGTGGGGGAGGAGGGGGTTGATTTCTGTTTCTTGGTTGCTTATTGATTTAGAAGCAGTAAGAGCTCAACAAGACTTAGGGTTTTCAGGTCAACCCAGGCTATCTTGAGGAGTACAGCTGTTTATAATCACAGACAATGATTATAACATCAAGATAACGCTGATGTTTCCATGGTAGAATAAGAAAGGAAGGATCCCTTTTCTCAGTAGCCTTGTGTGTTTGTCTGAGGCAGTAGACGTATGAATATGGGAGCATCTAGACACAGTGCCCCAACCCTTGCCGTCATGGGTCCCATGGCTTTTTTGCTTTATCTTGCTGAGGACTTCAGTCCTTAGAGAACCTAAAACCGGTTGTTCCCAGACACCAACATCGAACTTCCATAAAACAGGTTGAGTCAGTTCTCAACTATTAGACTGAGTTTTCCCCAAGTACCCCTTTAGGCCACTATACTCCCCTTCCTACCACCGGAAAGGTGGCTATAAGCAGCATCTCTGCTGGCTTAGACATGTGTTATATGGAAGACCTGTTCTGTGATTTATCCGTGTCATTGATTACCCCTGCCTTCTAGCAATAGTACCTTCTAGGAGTCCTTTTGTTTTAAGAACTCCCAGAAGGAACTGGTACCCCTCTGCTCTTATTTCCTGCATGTGTGGGATCCCTGCAGGGCTGGTGAAGAGACCACACCACAGCCAATCTCAGCATCATGTATGTGGTTTCTGCCCACCTCTGGTCTGATGTATTGAATTAGTTGCCAGTGCACTGTCTTCCAGATTTGCCTCTGTGTTCTTTGTGGCTGTACTGGGTCTTGTACTGTCTGCTCCCATCAAGTCTCAGTTGGCCAGCCAACTAACAAGAAGTCAGTGTCCATCCTCCCCCTTACCCCCACCCCTTCTTTGTTATTGAAAGAATAGAAATGAACTCTCTCCTAGCCTTTCTGCTGAAGTGGTGGGTGGGGGGTGCTCTGACTACTGCGGTCTCTGCAGGGGGAACCGAGAGGGGCTGAGCCGCACCTCAAGCAGCCGCCAGAGCAGCACAGACAGCGAACTCAAATCCCTGGAGCCGCGGCCCTGGAGCAGCACAGACTCTGACGGCTCTGTCCGGAGCATGCGACCCCCTGTCACCAAAGCCAGCAGCTTCAGCGGAATCTCTATCCTCACCCGGGGCGACAGCATCGGGAGCAGTAAAGGTGGCAGTGCAGGAAGGATCTCCAGGCCAGGTACAGCCTCTCTCCTTCCATGTCGTGCCCACCCCTTCTTGTTTGTCTTCTGAGAAATATCATGATACTTAGCTTTAACAAAGCACTTGTTCTGACATAGTTGCCTGGCAACCTAACGCAGCCAGGTGAGAAGTTTGATTTCTTGGAGCCATCATCCTTTTAAGTCCTATCTCTGATTTCCTTTCAGACCTCTCCTGATTCAGAAACACTGATTGGGGCTAGATTATTTTGCCTGATTTCTGACCGAGGCCCAGGTCAAGGTTATATACTAAGATGAAAATGATAGCTGCTTTCATTGGTGACCTTTGAGATTATAAAGTGGATTTGTGGAGCAGAGGGTACCTTTAGAGTTTAGCTGTTCGCAATTAATTAGTGGCAGTCAGTAGGCTAGAATTTCAAGAGATGCTGTCAAGACTGCTCCCCTGTGGCCCAGTCACTGAGAAGGGGCAGAGACTCTCATACATTCCACATACAAGGCCTGTGACCACCCTTTAGCTCTCTGTACCCAGTGTGCTTCTATTTCACCATCCTTCTGCCTTCAAAAAATGGCTTGAATCTCATCCCAGAAGCTCTCTGAGTCTTGTCCTTAGTAGACATCAGTAGTGGTGAAGATGTTGCCTGTGACTCTTAGATCTCTGCTGCCCTTCTCTGTTACCTCCTTTCTAGTCCCACTGCCTCTGCCTTTGTCCAGGCTTTTTTCTTCTTTTATATAATTATCACACTAGCCCCCAAGCCGATTTCCCTGCTCCATTCTCAGTCCCTTTGAGAGCCAGTTTACCAATCTAAAACAGATCTAATCACATCAGTCCCCTCTTTAAAATTGCAGAATTAAAATTTAAAATACAGAATTCATGTTCCTTCATTGCCTATATAATAAAAGTCTAAACTACTTAATATAGCATAACCTCCCTTCCTGACTCCAGTTTGCCATCTCAATCTAATTTCCAGATATCCATCCTCCTCAGACTCTCCAGCCATTTCTTGTATCTGGAATTAACTTTATCCCCTCTCAGTCTGACAACCTTCTATTTACCTTTAAGTCTGTCTCTTTTCCTCTTCCTCTTTAAATCCTTCCTGACCCTCCCAGGAGTTCTCTCTTCTCTCTTTCTCATCTTTGCTTTCATAAAGCTTTGTTCATACCACTGATACATCCCTTATCCTTATCAGATTGTAATAGTTCTGTCATGTCCTGTCTCCCCTCGGAAGATTCTGTGCTTTTAAGGGCAAGAACATGTGTTCCTTCACAATGCCTGGCATATAGTAGATAATTCAGTTCAAGTATGCTATGTGAATGCATACATGCCTTGGAGAACCTGGAAATGGGAAAAATAGCGGGTAAAGTATGTGTGTGTGTGTACATGCATGCGCTTGGATAGACAGAGTTAACCTTCTCAGCAACTTTTTTATAAGAGATGCTGTAAGTAGAGAAGAAACCAAAGAGATGATACGTCCCTTAAGGGATCAGGAATCTGGACCTTCCCCAGAAGAAAGCATTCATATTTTAGCTTTCTAATTATGATGGCCAGATTCTAGGCACTTCAGGGGAGGTGCCTTAGCAGCCTTATATTTTGTTCAATTCCAAAATCAAACACTTGACAATCAAGGTGGTTCTTGTTCCTGGGGAGCAAAAACCTGCTGAGGTGAGGATTCCCATTAGGAAGGAAGCTGAAATGTTATCTGTGCTCATCCAAAGACAGTGGGGAATGGCCAGCGGGGTAGTGAAGAAAAACGGCAGGGAAAGAGTAGAGCCCTACAGCTGGGCCCTCCAGGGCTGGTATGTTCATGGCTTGTGCTTACAACTCTTGGTGAGTCTCCTCTTTGCCTTAGGTATGGCGCTAGGTGCCCCAGAAGTGTGCCACCAGGTCACCTCATCGCAGTCTATCCGGGGCCTTCTCCCTTGTACTGCCCAGCAGCAGCAGCAGCAGCAGCAGCTTCCTGCTCTCCCGCCCACGCCTCAGCAACAGCAGCCCTTGAATAATCACATGATCTCACAGGTGAGTCACCACTCAGTGCCAGAGCCCGCTCCCTCTGATTCAAGCAAGCTCTGGAAGTACGGTCATGTCTCTTGTGCTGTGGGTGGCAGGAAGGATTAGGTTTTGGAGACATGCCATTCTCTCCCCCATCCTTCGTTTGTTAGCTGTGGGGAGAGAAGAGTAAGGGCAAAGACTGGGCCAATGCCCCCTGAGTGGAGTCAGCCTACAAGTTTGTTTGTTGGTTTGTTTTATATTTCTTCTTCTTCCTCCTCAGAAATGTTAGTGGGATCTTTTACCTGCTCCTACATTTCTACTGTACCCCATCTCCCTCTATACTCTGTAATTAACAATGGAATTTTGTTCACTATTACCTGGGCAGTGTTTTGTTCTATTGTACATAGAGTCACTATTAGTTGAAACTGACCCAACGACACCTAGCAACAACATCCATATAGGGAGCTTGAAAAGATCACAGCCCCCACCACAGAGTGACTGAATGTGTTTACGTGTCTGGTGGCACATAAACGCATGTTAATGTGTTAAGGCTTGGGGGGAAAGGGAATAATACTCGCTCAAGACCCCTGCCATACATATGCCACAAGGCACAAAGACTCCCAAATGTCTTTTGTTTCCCATATCATAAAACGGCTATATCATTCTGAAATTATTTCCTGTGTGTTGAGGGATTGAGCAAATAAGTAAATATTTTGAGGATGTTGGGAACCAAGTTTCTCACTATCAGAGAAGTGAAGTACAAATATTGAATGGGGGTAGCCTAGGAAGAATCCTGAAATTGGGAGTTTTTAATGTATAGTTATAGAAATAGATATATGTGTTGTTTTTTGGAGGGGAAAAGAAGGGAGGGAGTGCTGTATCTTTCTCCTTTGCTGGACTGGTAGATCTTGGTACTAACTAGAGTTTGAATGAAGTTATGCTTCTGTGGAGACCGTGCAAGTCATCAGCATAAGATCAGGTCCTGTTCTGAACTGGAACCTCAGTGTTCTAGACTTAAAAGTCACCTTAATACTCTGAGCAGAGCTGTGCTGAGATCTTCACTTACTCTCATCTTCCGTGAGTAGAGCTCTTCCGCGAACAGAGCTCCATAGCTTTGTCCAAAAGCATTGTCTGTAAGAGAAGTCAGGAAGCTTGACTGTCAACACTGATTCTTTTCTGCCACAGTTTGCATTTCACCTCCCAGGTTCCTTCTTTTCCCTGCTCAGTTAGTCCAGCTTGGCTTTAGGTATAGCCCTTTCCCGGGTACAAGAAGCAAGTCCCAAACACTGATACTTCAGGAACTGGACACTAGACTAGAAGGACCTCAGAATGGCCCAGTATGGCCCCATCGCAAATATAGTGCAAAGAAGCTAAAATAAAGAACAGTGGAGACCTAGGAAACCCCGCTTTGTGTCTTAATGTAACCCACATGCAGATCGTTCCTGTCCTTCATCTTAGTCCCTAAATCACTCTGTCATAGTCCTGACTCTGTCTTGTTTACCACCATTCACCCTATTAAGTCTTGTTCATATCATCTTACCCCCCTTCTCACCTAAACATGAGGGGGTGTGTGTGTCTGTGTGTGTTTCTCTGTCCGTGTCTGGATTCAAAACCTATAAGCGGGTGCAAACTCTGAGTTTCTCCCCTGGCTGTCTCTTCCTGTGTTTCTGTGTGTTTATGTCTCACTTTACCAAGGTCCCAGTATTTTTTCTAAAATGTGTGTATTTTAATACAGTCTTACTCCATTTTCTCCCCCTTAGTCCTCTATCTGCTTCCACCTTACGTCCATACCTAGGAACAGACAGCAAGAACGGGAGGAATAGAGTAAGGAGAGGGAACGACCATTTGGGACTGGAAACATTTTGGACAGGATGTGCAAGGGACCAACCGTAAACCCCAAACTTCCGTTCAGATTCTGTGCTTGCTGCTAGAATTAATTGTTAGCTTGAGGATTAATAAGCAATCCTTTGGTATTGGACTGATCTCCTGCGGGGAGTGTGGTGCTAGACTTGGCACTATAGTTTGGAGACGGGGTGTATCCTTTGGTGCAGAGATCTCTGCACCCTCAGAAATTTATTCTTGAGATTAATCATGACCACAGATTCCACATTAAGAATCTTATCCCGAGGGTCATGTGACAATGTGTCTATAAATTTTTGTATGAGAAAGTACCTTGAACTGTAAATTTTCATGTAAAGCACAATAAAAATAAAATGATAAGATTTATGGCCTTGGAAACCCTATGGGGCGCTTCTGCTCTGTCCTGTGGGGTTGCTGTGGGTCGGAATTCAGCTCGATGGCAGTGGGTTCTTGGTTATACATTCATTCCTTTATTCAGTTAAAAAAAGAGCTGTTTTATGTTGTGGGGTTGTTAACCAATGTCATAAAACAATATGTGTACTAACTGTTTAATGAGAAACTATTTGTTCTGTAAACCTTCATCTAAAGTACAATTTAAAAAATAAATAAATAAATAAATAAATAATTCTTTAACATTGTTGGAAAAAAAAAATAGCTGTTTGATACCTACTATGTGCCAGGCATTATGCTACATGGTAGAGACAGGACAGTGATCAAGGCAGATGCAGTCTTGCATCATGGAGCCTCCCTAGTCATTAGAGAATAGAAATTTATAAATACATAGCCATCAGGCAGTGTAGTGAGTGCCATTGGGAAAAGGTACAGTGGGAAGGGTTGTTGTTGCTTGCCTTTGAGCCTGTTTTAACTCATCGTGGCCCTGTGGGACAGAGTAGAGCTGCCCCATGGGGTTTCCTAGGCTGAAATCTTTACAGGAACAGATTGTCAGGTCTTTTCTTCTACAGAGCGGCTGGTAGGTTGGAACCACTGACCTTTCTGTTAGCAGCTGAGAGCTTTAACCATTGTGCCACCAGGACTTCTTAGTGGTAAGGAAGCACACTGCTTTTAATTAGGACCCATCTCATGAACCTAAGAGAGTTTAGAGGTTCCTGCACCAGGAATGCAACACAGGATGTCTTTAGTGAGCTGTTCAGAAAGAGGCTAACTTTAGAAAGAGGACAACTAAATATCAAAAAACCAAACCAAGTCGATTCTGACTCGCGGCAGCCCTGCAGGACAGAGTAGAACTGCCCCATGGGGTTTCCAAGGAGAGGCTGGTGGATTCGAACTGCCGACCTTTTGGTTTTCAGCCTGAGCTCTTAACCACTGCGCCTCCAGGGCTCCTATCAAAAAAAAAAAAAGTCAAGGTCAAATAGGGGCGCTTAAAAAAAATAAAAAAAAGAAATCTTACCCTGGAGAAGCTTTGGTGTCCCTGAAGCACTTACGGTGGTTGTTAATATTATATAAACACAACCCCTGTCCTACATGTGTCTCTTTTTTTTCTTCCTCTCTTCTTTTTCTCCCTCTCCTTTTATCCCTTTCTTCTTACTATCTCTTTCTTTTTCCCTGACTAGTAATCAGCACCGGGGGCTCTTCAAACTCAAGAAGTTGCTGAGCCCCAGAGTAATTATTGTGCAGTTTCTCAAATGGTAATAACAGTACATGGATAAAGGAAGTGACCCCCCCCTCCACGCACACACACGCCACTGTGCTTACTCTAAAGGTTTTCTTTTAAAGGAAAAACTTGTAAAAGGGTAGTTACCTTTAGCTCTGTAACAGGAGGCATTTGCGCTAGGCCTGAGGACAATGTGGGCAAAACTATGCTCTTTCCCTTCTTGACAGGCCTTCATTCATGTGTTAGTAAAACATGTAAAACCAAGGGGTAAGCCTGAGGATTAAAGGGCTAGTGGCTACCTTTTGTCCAATTTGCTTAAAATGGAGTGGGGCTCTTAAAAAGAAACCCTCTCAGGCTCTCCTGTTGTCGTCAGGTCAGGCATCTAAAAATCAATGACCTAGCGTAGAATTCACCAGTAGGTGGCAGTCACATTCCTCAGGGTCAGTCTTTGGCTTCCCTGTGGTTTTTCTGAGATTCCTTGACTCTGAAGTTTGAGTCTCCAAGGAGAGAAGTGTAATTGAGGGTGGTAGTAGAAAAACGAAAAAATAGCACCAAGATCCCCTGCTTTTTCCACTGCCCCTCCCCAGGTCAGTGGAAGCCTAACAGGAGCATCATTTCTTCTCTCACTTTTTATGCAAAACTCACAGGAAAACAGACAGAGTTTTCTTAAAGTTTTACCACTTCAATGCCCTGTGGCCACCACCACCCCCCCAAAATATATAAGGCCTAAACCAAGTTAGGCCCTCCCCCAAAAGAAAAAAGATTAAGATGATAGGAAATGTGTTTTAAAGCCACCAGCACAAGCAGCTCATGTTGAGCAACTTGGCAAGCATTTATATTTGGAATGTCATGGCTTACAGGAAAGAGGTGTGCCAGTAGAGCTAAGGGTTTACTTTTGAGGCTACAGCAGCATCTCTCTCCCAGGTCACTTAGTGGATTCTAAGTAACTTCTTTCTAACCAAAATTACTTTCTATTTATTTAATCCAGATATAAGGTCCTCTGCTAAGGCCCCTGCAGTATTCTCCTTTTGGGGGGGTCTTCTAATTCCAGGACTCTCTGCCTCCTAGACTATTAGTCCCCTCTGTGAAAGAGTCTCCCAGGGTTATCAATACCATGCCCCTGCACACACACCTGGAATATTCTCAGTCTGGAGAGGGAGGAGCCTGTGGAAGATGCTTGAATTGTTTTGTTGGACTTCTTGCTTTACCTCCTGCCCACTCCTAAGGGAGTGGAGTGGAAAGAATATGTCAGACAGAACTATGTTTCATTCCCAGCTCTGCCACTTATTAGCTGTGTGATCTAATGAGTGGTTTAACTTCTCTGAGTCTTAATTTTCTTTTTCTTTCTTTTTTTAAATTTATTTTGTTGTTGTTGAGAATATGCACAGCAAAACATAAGCCAAATTCAGCAGTTTCTACATGTACAGTTCAGTGACATTGATTACATTCTTTGAGTTGTGCAGCCATTCTCCCCCTCTTTTTCTGAGTTGTTCCTCTCCCATTAACTCACTGCCCCCTAAGGTTCCTATCTAATCTTTCAAGTTGCTGTTGTCAATTTGATCCCATATATGCAAACATTTTTTATTAGTTAAGCTAAACTGTTGTTTGGTTTTAAGAAGACTTCAGGGGATGTTTTTGGTTTAAGATTTAAAGATTATCTCAGGGCAGTAGTTTCAGGGGTTCATCTACCCTCCATGGCTCCAGAAAGTCTGAAGTCCATGAGCATTTGAAACTCTGTTCTGCATTTTCCTCCTTTTGATCAGGATTCTTCTATAGAATCTTTGGTCAAAATGTTCAGTAATAGTACCCAGGCACCGTCCAGTTCTTCTGGTCTCATGGCAAACGAGGCATTTGTTCATGAAGGCAATTAGCCATATATTCCATTTCCTCCTCCTATTCCTGATTCTCCTCCTTCCTCTGTTGCTCTAGGCGACTAGAGACCGATTATTGTGCAGTAGATAGCTGTCTTAACTTTCTTAACTGCAAAATAAGAGTTACCTCCCTATAGTAGTACCGTGGACTGAAATGAGACAATGCATATAAATGTTCTCTCTCCCCCTCAACGTCCCACATACACCTTTCTCCTTCTCCCATCCCTCCTACCACCAGGGGCTATGACTATAGAACTGAGGTGATCAGAATGGCTGTAGGGGAAGAAGGGGGAGCAAGAAAATAACTAACCATTAGTTGGTTTAGAACACACCATGTCCCTAATCAACAGATCCCCTTGCTTGAGGCTAGTGAAGGCACTAGAGAAATAAAAGCTAAAACCAGGCTATTTATATTTTATTTCTGGATCCCTCCCTGCTTGCTTATGGGGGCATTTTCACACTGCCCTCACAGACTAGAGGAGCAGTCATGGAGCTAGAGGAAGTAGCCAGAACCCGGCATTAACTGGGTGTTTTTCCTTCTCTGCCCTCGGGAAGCAATGATCCTTGTGAATGAGCACTTCCTCCAGGAGAGATGTGGTGTGAAATCGGAGAGTGACAGGGAGAGCTGAGCCAGACCTTGGTTAATCCTTCCTACAGAGGCAGTACACATTGCAAATAGGGAATCCCTTCTCAAGTAGGCATTCAAGGAGGGCTGTGAACGTGCTTCCCAGAAATCATGTGCTCAGGAAAAATGCTTTAGAAAAAGCTGTGTTTGGAATCAGGCAGGCCGTGGTCCTGAGAGTCTTAAGATTGCTCGCAACAGCTGCAGAGTTCTGACTGGCTAATGGGGTGGGACATGCAGCAGGTCTCTCCTGATAGGAGAGATTGCCTATTTGTCAGAGAAATGTAAAAGCCACAAGCTCTTCCCAGGCTTGGTCTCCAGCCTGCTCTACTGCCTGCTCAGCAGCCTTGCTATTCATGTGAAATTTTTTTAATGATTAATCTTGTTGTTCCTCTCTTCTCCCTCCCCATCTCTGCCCCCTACCTCTTCCTGTGGCTTCCTTTTCTTTTCCCTTTCCCACCTGCCTCTCTGCTGGTCCACAGCCAGTCCCGGCTCTGCAGCCCTCCCCGCAGCCTGTTCAGTTCTCTCCAAGCTCCTGTCCCCAGGTCCTTCTGCCAGTCTCTCCGCACCAGCAGTACAACATGGTATAAACTCCATTCCCCCTTTTTGTCCTTGTCCATGTGTGGCCTGTTTCTGTGGGTATGACTGAGTCTGTCTGGGATGGCTTTGCAAGCATGCTGTGCTTTTTGAGGGGAGCTGTGTTGTGTTTCTTGAGGGGCCAGCATGGGCTGAACTAAACTTCATCTTAATGACTTCATCACTACACTTTAGGCATCAAAAGAAGCCTAAATGTAAGACAGAGATGAACAGTGAGTTCCCTTGAGTTTCAGAAGAGGGAATAAAATTGGTTGCTTTCTACCATGTACGTCCTTCATCTCATTTGCTCCCTGGACATGTCTGAGGAGCCCAGTTTATTTTGTACAGAATGGTTCTCTGTAATTTTCTTTAAAAATAACACAATTTTAGATTTTTCTGGTACCACTGGTAAAAACTTAAAATGTTCCCATATCTTACCATGTCATTTTACATAAAAATATTTATTCACTGCTTAGTACATGATGTTTAAATTGCTTCACACCCTGACGACAAATTCTTTGAAGATCTTATTTGCCTAGGAGTTGATAACTTCCATGATGGTTATAGGAGCCCTGATTTTTTATTTTGTTTTTATCACATCTCTCTGACTTTTCATTAGAATCCTCTCTTTCCTTTCCCACTTCTTATCTCTATTCTGAAAAGTCCTGGAGTATGGACCTCAAAATAATCTGCAATTCCATCCTTTTGTCATCTATTCCTGTCCAGTAAGGTAGCAAAACAGCTAACATGAAGATTTTCAGAGTGAAAATGGAGTGAAACTACAAGAAAGCATTGTCTTTTGGTTTTTGCTAGTTCCTTTTGCAAAAGATCTCCTGCTCTGGTGTGGTGGTGGTGGCGTGTGTTTATGTATATGTGTGTCAATTACTGTCCAGAGAGCAGAAAGGAGGAGAAAGCTAGCAAACCCTAAACTTCTCACTACAAAGGTGAGAGCTGGAACACCATCACTCTTGCTGCTTACGGAAGAGGGCCGAGAGAGAAGATACAGACTGGCCAGTCAGTCTCGCCCTCTAGCTCAGCCACTCACCTTGGCCTCCTTTCGGAGGTGAGAATTGGAAGTGGTTTCTGAAGGGCAGGAGAACTCTAGGCTAGTGTCAGAGAACAGAGGTGGAAATGATCTGGAGAGGAAGTAAGGAGATAAGCAGCAGGAGTGGGAGCCCAGCAGTCTTTCCCCTACATAGGCTGGGGAGCCACATGAACCTACCCACCCGTAAATAACACCAAGTTGTTACTTGGGACCTTTATTAGAAAAACGGGACTTATAGCAATGTAGGGCCCTTTGTATGATTGGGGTCATAAGAAAGAAAGAAATGAAAAGACTTAGAATCTTTTTCTCTAACCTACTAGCTAGTCCTATTTTTTCTCTATATAGCAGTTGTGTCATTGCTCCCGTTTCCCCAGGAGTAATCCTAATACAGATTATAATCAGGGTAGCCATTGTTAACTCGTATGTGGTAGAGAGACTGGCTCTGGAGTTGGGCTTCAGACAGCTCTTCAATTCACAGCAATTTAAAGCACCACAAGACAGGTTTAGGGCTAAAAAGCGCCTCCCAGGGGCACAGAGACAGGACTGTCCCAAACGGGTGTAAGTAAGGCTCTAGAGAAGATTGCTGTTGCTGTCTTGTCTGTCTGTGTTGAAGCCAAAGAGATGAGGCTTGATATGGCCTCAGTCCTTAAGTCCCCCATTCTGTCAACAGGCAGATGACCTCAGCAATCCCTTTGGACAAATGAGCCTCAGCCGCCAAGGTTCTGCTGAAGCAGCTGACCCATCTTCAGCTCTCTTCCAGCCTCCACTTATCTCCCAGCACCCTCAGCAGACTAGCTTCATCATGGCTTCCACGGGACAGCCCCTCCCCACTTCCAGCTATTCCACCTCTAGCCATGCACCACCTACTCAGCAAGTCCTGCCGCCCCAGGGCTACATGCAGCCCCCTCAGCAGGTAAGCAGCTTGGGTCCCCAGTCTGAATCACTAATTCAGTTTGTCCCCTAGTGTAGACAGACCAGAGGAGACACCTTTCCCCAGCTGGTGCTTGAGAATTGTTATTGTAGCCAGGTCTTCTTTCTATATAACACAAGTCTTTTCCTTTTCTCATTCAAACGTATATAGTAATCGTACAATTTCAGGTCTAAAATATCTCTATTTGAGATTTCTGGCCATCAACTCTGATGCATTTAATAGTTTGGAGATTTTAGGGCTAAACTTGAAGGACCCTCATACATCTCTTTCCTTTCACCATAGATCCAGGTTTCTTACTATCCTCCTGGACAGTATCCTAACTCCAACCAGCAATATCGACCTCTCTCTCACTCGGTGGCCTATAGCCCCCAACGTGGTCAGCAGCTGCCTCAGCCATCCCAGCAGCCTGGTAAGAGGAACTTCTGGTGTAAGAAGGCAGTGAAGAGGGAAGGGTGGAAACTGGGAAACAGATTGCCCTCCCCATCCAAAAAAAATAATAATAATAATACAGGAATGATTAGGTCCAAAAGAGGGATTTCCAGAAAAAGAAAAGGTAGAATAGAATGGAGGAGGGAAATTACTGATAGAATGTGACCTTCTAAACATTGTTGAGACCATACTAATGTCTTCTCTGCCTTGCTCATCCCTAGGTTTACAGCCCATGATGCCTAACCAGCAACAGGCGGCTTACCAAGGCATGATTGGGGTCCAGCAGCCACAGAACCAGGGCCTTCTCAGCAACCAGAGGAGCAGCTTGGGGGGCCAAATGCAAGGCCTGGTGGTTCAGTACACTCCACTGCCTTCTTACCAAGTGGGTGCATTCTGAGTAGGGCAAGATCACCCAGTCCCTGGGGAGAAGAAAAGGAAGACAGATTCCCAGAGTCTTCCAGACTGACAATTCCAATACTAAAATATTGTCCACTTTCCCCCTAGAATTTTTAGACATTTTCCTCTGAGAAAGTCTGAGAGGAATCTTTATTTAAACTGCTTGGTCTTTATACAATTAGGGAAATGTCTCTATACCCAGGAAAGTAGAGCCTAGAAGAAAATCAGTCTCCTTCCTCTATGTCAGATGCCCAAGGGTTGTTTGGAGAAGTGAGGGAATGGAAGTAGCTCTGTAAGCATTTCCTTTAAGCAGATGGGGAAAGCAGGAGGGGTCTCTAAGAGGTAGGGAAGGAAGCTGTAGTGCCTAGTCTAGTGATGACTAGGCTGTTCTCTCGATGAGCTCAGTTGGGAGTACGGTAGTCATTCTCTTCTCGTCTCTACCCAGGTCCCAGTGGGTAATGACTCGCAAAATGTGGTCCAGCCGCCTTTCCAGCAACCTATGCTGGTCCCTGCGAGCCAATCTGTGCAAGGGGGCCTGCCAGCAGGGGGCGTGCCCGTGTACTACAGCATGATCCCACCAGCTCAGCAGAACGGTACGAGGTGAGGACTCCCAGAGAGTGGGGACTCATCTCTCATAGACCTTCAGCAACTGTTGCACCATGGTTTTGTGTCCGCTGGCCTAAGAAAGGCAGGAGTAAAGATCCTAGTGGTGCCCTAAAGCAGGTAGAACATGAAGGAGTTCATGCTCCTTTTCTCCCTTTGATTTCTATTTGAATTAGGACCTTATCAGCAGAAAAAAATCCCCTCTTCAGAGACAGAGGTTTTACAGTTTCCCCATTTTTTTGTTTTTCAACCTAATGGGACTCAGAACTAATGAGATAGAGACCCTCATCATTAAGAGAAGCAGTCTTGGAGTATACATGTATATTTTTCTATGTACCTTTGTGTCTGTGGGAGAATCTCAGATGGTGTGTCTGTGTCTATATGTTTGTTTATATCTGAGTATAGGTCATAGCTAATAGAATCTTAGAGGTAGGAGCCACCTTAAAAATAATCTAGTCAACTCCCCTTGTTTTATTTCTTTCTCTTGTTTTATAAATGAAGAAATTACCGCTAGAGATGATAAGAAATTTACCCAAATTTCTTAGCTAGTTAGTATCAGAGATGGAACTAGAACTCAAGTCTGTCCCTAGCCGTATTTCTCCGTGTCTCTGTCAGAGTATGTATGTTCCTCTGTCTTTTTATATATGTGTCTCTATGTAGTCTAAGGTTTTGTGTTTTTTTTCCCCATCTGTCTTCAGGTGACTATCTGTGTTTGCCATTGTGGATACATCTAAAATCACGAATCTCCTTAGTTCTTTTTTACCCATCTCTCTCTAGTGCTGTACATCTGACTCGGACACACTTTTTGTCTGTGTTTCTGTTGTTTCTTCAGAATCTCTGTGTGTGTGTGTGTGTGTGTGCGCGCGCGCGCGCGTGCGTGCATGTATGCACGTGTATGTGTCTTGGTGTTTCCACACTGTTGGGAAGAGCATGTGTCGCTAACGTTCCATCTGTAGCACTGATTAGCAGCTTTGTAATTGAAAGATGATCAAGTACAAATATATATAATTAACTTTGAACTGATGAGTGATTTTAGAAATGGCATGGTAAATTGGTCTGGGAATGGCTTGGAGCTGCCTCTGCTTCCCTTGGGGAAGGCCCAGGAAGCAGCAGCTGTTTGCCAGGAGCTGTTCTTCCCTCCACTGCCTCACCACTCCCCTCTTTTCCATTTCCCCAGCCCTTCTGTAGGGTTTCTACAACCTCCTGGCTCTGAGCAGTTCCAGATGCCTCAGTCTCCCTCTCCCTGCAGCCCACCACAAATGCCACAGCAGTACTCAGGTAAGAGGATAAAGAATTGGGGGATTTTGGCCACTGACAAGAGCGAAATGCTGCTGAAGGGCTTGTGCTCTAGAGTTGGGAAGGACAAAGAGAGTTCAGGGATTGATTGGCTTGTCCCTGACTGACCCCATCACTAAGAGAGAGCAAAGTCTTGGCTTGTGTTTTCCGGGGGTTCTGAAGCTGACCTCACAAGAGATGTGAGGTTGGTTGCCTCGTCCCAGGGAAGCTACATCTCTGATTGGTTTCCTCATTTCCTTTTTTTTTTTTTGCTGAATCCAGCATTACCCTCACATGCCTTTGGGAAATGAAGTGCTTACCTCTGTCGGTCTCCTGCACTCATTCTTCCGATAGACAGCTTTTCTTTTCCCTTGGGACTGTGAAAGAGACTGATAAAGTGTTTTTTAAGTCATGTCTTAGGTTTGCTTAGCAGTTTTTAGTATGTGCTCACATACATTGTGACATTGTAATCGTCACCACAACTTCATGAGAAGGAAATTTAAGACTCAGGTTAAATGACTTGCCTGAGGTCATAGCCCTAAAACTTTAACTTGGATCTTTTGGCTTTGTATATTCTATGCTGCATCCTAAATAACACGTCCAGGCTTCTGTACTCTATTCCTTTCCCTCCAGTGGGTAATAAATGGATATCCTGTTAAACAGCTAAAGGCTGTCTTTAGAGGAGGCAGCCACCCCAGGTGAATAGGCTTATGCCATACAGCCAGCCTCTCACTGTCTGCCTTTGCCAGGCACTCCCCAACGCACCAAGTACAGCTGCCGTTGCTTGTTTCCCATTCACCCCACCCTGATATAGCAGTACACTGCAGTTAAAGAATCTTTAGGGGTTCTGGAGGGGAGGAATTCTTAATTTAGCCTCTAGCCTTCCCAATCCACTCTTATTGTTGGGATGTCAGAGTGCCCTCTTCTGGTGAGAGGGAGGTATTTTGCCAGTTTTTCCCATTTAGAAATGGAATATTTTTCATTTAAGATTTTTTGCACCCTTACAGTGTTAGATGCTATGGAGAGGATTCCAAAATTAACCTTGCTCATAAGCCTTGATCAGTTCTTACCTTCAAGGAGCAACGACTTCAGTCTTCATCCAGGCCAAATGCTGCGAGGTTTAAATTCAACAGCCCTTACCCTTCATTACATTATTGGTCTCTCTAGCCCTTTCTCCTAGTGCCTGCCCAGGGGCATTTGGCCTTGAAATTCCCAGTGGGGTATGGAAATTGTAGAAACCAGCTCCGTATGGAAATTGTAGAAACCAGCTCCGAGAACCACTGTAGCCTGTGGTGGTGCTTGGTACTGCAGGGCATTTTCTCTCTTGTTAAAATAAGTGTGTGCATGTGCATGCAGGTCTACCTGTGTGTACATTTTTGTATGCATTCTCAGTGGTGTGTCAGTATATCTGTTGGGTCTTTCTGTGGTTATTTCTGTTCATCTTCAAAAACAAGGTCTTTCAATCAACAACAAACCAAGTGAAAAAAATTTTTCATTACCTCTCCCGGACCTAGTACTGGCTTAAGTAAACTAACATAGCTGTTGCTCTGGAAGTTAGCGGCTCCAGAGATCTGCACTGGGGTTGGAAGAAGAAAGTAATCTAGGTTCTTCCCAAATCAACAGAAATGGAGAAAACCCTCTTATTTTCCTTGCTTCTTTGGAATTTTTTCAGTTATAGCTCCTTTCTTCCTAGCTACTCTGATTGATCCTAGGCTTTTGACTGAACCTTTGTACTTTTCCACCCACATAGCCTAAGACGCCATCTTCATCAGCCCATTGATTTTAAAAGTCTTTACTCCCTGCTTACGGAAACCTAAGAGGAAGTAGAAGAAGAAAACCAAGTTCTGCTTCTGCCTTCCTTTCAGTTTACCCTTCAGTGAGAAGACAGAAGGCAGGCATAGCCCACAAGGGCTCCTCTGTCACCTTCAGAGGACAGTTACCCGCCCTCCTCCCATATAGCAACGTGGTCACTTTTCCAAAAATAAAGGCAGGGATTAGGATTGGCTGTTCCTGGAACAACTGTTCTGGTTTATTAATACATTTTTGTAGTTACCCAGTTCACCCCGGGCCTGGACCTTAGTTCCTTCACTATGGTATTAGACATAACTGTAACCCCAGGAATCACTTTTCTTTCCACAAAAATGATGGCTTGCAGGTCAAGTCCCTTGAGGTTTCTACAGGGATGCTGGTTTGGAGAAGATGCACACAGATATGAAATGGCAGTATACCTATACACAGATTCCCCACTCACAGTGACACAGCAGCATACAGAAATAGCCTCTCACATACTTACTGACTCATTTTGTAGCTGAGGGGTTTCCAAAACTGAGGCTCTTTCTCCCACTCCCTGAAGACACCCCTCTCACCTACCAAAAACAAACAAAAAGACCAAGAAAGATATTAGTGGATTCTGTCCTGTAATTTGGGAAAGATGCCTATGGATTTTATTTCTCTGGACATTTCTTTCTATAGATTTGATCTCTGGTGGTAAGGAAAAAGCCTATCAGTCTTCTACCTCAGTGATTTAAAAGAAAGTAAGAAAAACGAAAAACAGTTCTGCCAGACATAAATGTCATCTGTTTGTATTTATGTGGTTTGCTCTGCCCAATTGACCTTTCTGCCCAGGTTTAATGATGCCACTTAAAAAGCCATTCACACGTCCCCTCTCCTTTCAGAGTTTTCAGGCTGAAATTGATTTCTTTATTCAACCCCCTTCTCCCTCCCACCCCCCCGCCCCCAACCCAGGCTCGTTCCCTCTACCTGATTATATGTAAGTGCTGTCACTGGGCAGTGGGTTGTTTGGTTTTTTGGGTTTTTTTATTGCTGCATCTATTAAGAAGTAGCGACAGTTCAGCTGCTAACGGATGCCACCTGCTTTTAGCTGAAGGAAGAGAAGCATAAAAATCAGCTCATCAGCCGAGTAGTGCTCTGTGTCCTCAGCTGAATGAAGGAACAATGCTCCAGGCCAGTGGGGGAGGACTCAGTGTGGGGAGGAGCACAGGACAGAGGCTGCTACTGAGAACCCTGGCTTTGTTTTCGTTAGGATCAGAGAAAATAATGAGGACTTTGTTCTTCCCGCTGCCTTTGAGTCCCCTAATAACCTCTTATGGCTACATGTTGGTATTAGAAAGAGCTTCCACTGCCTTGCTTATGCCCACCCACTACATACTCACACATATATACCCACTCCCCATCCCCCACCTTTCCTGGCCCAGGGCATTAGGCTCAGATTATGAGCTTCCTTCCAGAAAAGCTGTAGATGTGATTATTTTTGCCTTGGCCCCTCAGGGAGCAATGAGGTGTTAGAATAATGTCAGTTGCAGTTTTGTTGGTAGAGGATGTGGGAGCAGGTGGGGCTTTTAGGATAGGGAAATAAAATGCCCAAAGCAACAGTAGTAAGGGGGCAGTCCTTCAGTGTGTGACGCTGCCCAACTGCGATTTTCGTGGCCCTTCTGCAGGCGATGCTGATGAACACCTTGTCCCTCTTGGGGGCGGCGGGGGGATGCGAACCTGTCTCTCTGAGTATTTCTGCCCTCTGATTAGATGAACCCTAGAGGGTGAGCGTCACAAATTGACTGGTGTATGGGATCTGACAGATGCTGTGTCTCTTGAGCCTCTCTGACCTGCCACCATTTCTGTTCCTTTCCTTTGACCGACACTACCTGAGAAAAGCAGTCACGCTCACTTCCCAGCATAACTGGTGCGCAGGGCAGAGGCTGCAACATTTCCTGTCACAGGAAGCAATGTGATGGTGGCTGCAGCAGCAGCCCCAGAGTACTGCACCATGAAAACAGCGGCATTGCAGCAGGTTTTTGAGCAAACAACCCCCAGGCCTTATTTCTGTACCGTCACACACATATGAACCCAGCCTATCCCTTGGTGGGGATATAGCCTGGGAGGTCAAGAGTAAACCCTCACTCTGGACAATCCCCTGTGGCAAAGCAGAGATCCTGCCCATCCTTCCCAGCCGGGACTATCCGTCAGACTGCTTCTCCCTGACCTCTTCTCTTGCTTTTCACCGTGAGGAAGATTCAGGACTTAATGTTCCTCTGCATTGATCCCTTTCCTTCCCCCCAACCCAATGAGAGGATACGGCATCCATGATTACCCGTCTAAAACCTCAGGGGCACATTCAGTCGGTCACCTGAACCTGTCAGTGTAACCTTCAGAGTGGTGGGTCCACCTCTTCCACTTCATTCCTGCCACCACTGCCCTAATTCAGAACCTCCTCATTTTCATTCTGTTTCAGTAGCTTCCTGACCAGTCTTCCAGCAGCTAGTCTCCCCCTCCCGTCAGCCATCCTGCATTCGGCCACTTGAGTTAGCTCTTCAAAGCACAAGTCCTATTCCCAACACCTACAGGTTAAAGCTCAAACTCTGACACCAACTATTTGTTTAATGTCCGTCTCCCTAATAGACTGTCCATCCCATGAGGGCAAGGACCAGATTTGTTTGTTGTACACCCAGTGCCCAGCATAACTAGCACATAGTGAATGTTCAATAAATGCTTGTCAAATAAACAAATAAATGTATCTCATCTCCAGATACTTCTCCTACATAACCCCTATGTTTTAGCACCTTGAATTATTTGTCATTTCTTAAATACGACATACATATCCATGCCATTTTTTTTTTGCTTGGGATGTACCCCAACTCACTCCACCCTCGCCCAGGAAGTACTTTGTTGGTCTGGCTCAGTGGAGCTGCATCTTCTCCAGAACCCCCAGAGATCACCGACTTATCTGCAACCATTACCAGAAAAGCCTGCATGTGCCGCAGCCCTGGCCTAAGCTCAGACCGAGGCCTGTGCTGTGCTCAGACATTTGAGCAGTCTCACCTGGACAATTTGTAATACCCAGCTCAGAATGGAGTAGTGTTCTACCAAGCATACCAGAGTACCCCTCGCCAGGTGAAGACCAGGAGAACGTTGGCATCTAGAACTCCTCCCCGCACCCCAGCCTCCACTGGTTTGGGGAGAAGAAGGCAGAAGCTGAATCAGCAACCATATCAGATTCCTGGCGGGACACAGTTTGAGGAACCCTGAGGCTAGTGGGGGGATTTGCTTACTGGCTTTCCCACTCAGGACTGGCTGGAAGGCCAAAATACAGTTTGAATTCACAACCAACTGCTTTCTTCCTGCCACTCAGGAGTGTCACCTTCTGGACCAGGTGTGGTGGTCATGCAGCTGAATGTCCCTAACGGACCCCAGGCCCCCCAGAACCCTTCCATGGTCCAGTGGAGTCACTGTAAATATTACAGTGTGGACCACCGGGGACAGAAGCCTGGAGACCTGTACAATCCTGAAAGTAGTCCCCAGGTGAGTTCTGCAGCCCAGCCCCATCTTGGCAAGGAGGAAGCTAGGTTCTTCCCAGGGAGCAGTCTTTGCCATTGACTGAGCAGCCACTTTACACGTCTTTCCCTGGGCACTTTTGGGGGAGAAACACAAGAAATAGAAGCATGCATCCTCTTTTACGGAATATAAGACCTAAGGTGTCAGACAGGACACACAGTTGAAATTGCTCAAAGAATACTTACAACAGTGTGTCAAAAAGTAGACATTAAACTAATAACAAGTTGATTGTCTAGGGACTAAGGGGGCAGTTTGAAGGAGCAGTCTGACTTTGGCAGAGAGATTTATTTCCTGATGGAGGTGAGTTTTAAGCTAAGCCATAGGAATATCCAGAGGCTAATACTTGGTGTTTATGTGACATGTGCTTCTCTCTTCCACAGGCCAACACACAGATGAGCAGCAGCCCTGTCACATCTCCTACCCAGTCCCCAGCACCCTCTCCTGTCACCAGCCTCAGCAACGTCTGCACAGGACTCAGTCCCCTGCCCGTCCTTACACAGTTCCCCCGGCCTGGGGGTACAGCACAGGGTAAGGGGTTAGATTAGGGCTGACTGCTATAGAATTCACCCTTCATATCCCACTCCTAAGTGGCGAGATCCAGAGGGTAGTAATAGGCAGGGAATCAGTGTAGCTGGTCCAATTCTGGGAGCCAACTCTTTCTTTCTATTTAGGGAACTTCTGAAAATTAACATTGCTATTCAGGCTAAGGACACCCACCTGTTTCTAGTACTACCCTTAGTTAACTTACTCCAGAGTATTCACCGTCAAGTAGAGTTGCTGACTATGGTTCAGGGAAGAGAAGTTTACAGAACTTTCTAATGAATCAAAGAGTTTAACCCGTCATTGGGTTAAACTTTCCCAGTCTGAGGGCTGGGAAAGTGGGGCCATGTCAGAAACAGTATGGTTTCACAAGAGGGAACACTGGATTTGGGTTAAAAGAGATTGAGTTCAAGTTCTAGTTCCACAACTCACCAGCTTTGCGATGTTGAGCAAGTTACTTAAACTCGGAGCCAAATCTTAGTTTCCTAATCTATAAAATGGGGGTAATTACACAGAAAATGGGAATAATCTTATCTGCTTTCTGTTTTGGCTGTCACAGCATTCTAAAAACAAGATGAGAATATGGTATAAAAACTTAAAAGTGCTTTGAAATGTAATTTTATCAGTAATGATAGCTAATACTTATGGTGCTTAATATGTACCAGACATTGCTGTAAGGGCTTACATGTAGTATATTCATTTAATCTTCCCAGCAACACTCATGAGTGAAAACTGTGTCTAACATCACATTACCAGTAACAGAGCCAGGATTTGAACCTAAAGCAGTCTGGCTCCAAGTCTGTGCTCTTGTTCATTATACTTTGTTACTTCTCATATGAGTCAGAAATTTAAGCCCTGGGTTTGGAGGTGGGGAGAATCTATTTAAGAGATAAAAGATATTCATAAGGGCCTGTAGGTTTCTTTCCTGATCATTTCCCCAGGGCCTTTTGTCTACCATGGGCAGAGGCCTTCTTCAAGGGTGAGGGAACCCAATAGCCCCATTTGTGTGAGATCCAAGGGGTTTAGGAAGATAAACAACTCTTAAATTAGTCACATAAGCACTCCCATCATAGAAAAGGTAGGAATAGTATGCATTGTTGCTGTCCATCTCCAGAATCCCCTGAAGTCGTACACAATTCATACTGTGAAGCTCAAACTCCCAGAAAACCACCTGCTCTTACTCCTTAGGTGATGGGCGCTACTCCCTCTTGGGTCAGCCATTACAGTACAATCTGTCCATCTGCCCTCCCTTGCTCCATGGCCAGTCAACTTACACAGTGCACCAGGTAAGGGTGTCTACCATCCCCTCCCACTCAGCCTTACGGCCGTCAGACCCACCTTCTCATTTGGACGCTATGTCTGAGCCACCTGCCTACACCAGCTTGGTGGACAAGGGAAACAGCACAGAGAGAATGGACAAAATAGGAGGGGCTAAAGGGCCTTACCCTACTCCTGTACTCATTCTTCCCACCTACTCCAGTGCCAAGAGGGAAGGGCTCTTTGCTTCTCAATGGCCCCAACCTGGCCAATCTTATTGCTGCGTGGGGCGGGGTCATCAGGGCTGGGGGCTACTGCTCAATCTCTCAGGCAGACGTTGGGATAGAAGGCAGTCAGTGTTGTTTACCTGAGATGAGAGTTATCTTTCAAACGTTGAAGGGACAGAGTGGATTGAAGCATGGAAACCGGGGCAAGAGACAAGCACTCAAATCTGCCTCCACTGACCTGGGGACAGCAGATGTTGGTGAGTGATAGGATGCTGAATCCCCTGAGAAAGTGCCCATCCCCACCCCACCCACCCCCCAACCCTGGATTACTAGCCCTGAGCAGGTAGGAAAAGCCAGCTTAGGGTGAGGAGTGGAAATGGGAACCTTTGGTGCTCAAGAGCAAGTAGAAGTGAAGCGTCTCAGCTCCTTACCAAGTAATCTCAGGTCCTGGGGAAGACAGTGGTAAAAGTTGGGAAGAACACACCGATGGGGCCACTGAGACTTATTAGCCAGGAGTCTTCCAGGAAGCAGTCCTGACCCTAATCTAGGACCTCTACTTTTGGTAGCCCCAGACCCAATTAAGGAGATGGATAGAGAATATGGGAGAGTAACTCTCCTCCTTCAGGTCTTTCATACTAGGCATATAAGATCTCTCTGTTGGAAGCAGTTTGCTAAACAAGGGAAGGAAGAGGAACTGACTTCGCTAGATGATAAAAAGGAAGACTATTTGGGCCAGCCTCTGAGTAGAAGGGGAACTACGGAACATATGTCTGATTGACCCCATTGACTTTGTTAAAGAACATCAGCAAAAACCACCCTTCTTTCACAGTATCAGTACCCTGTGAGAGAGCTGAAGTGTAAGTTCCCAGCTCATAAACCCGGGATTCTGATTCCCAGTCCCTCCTTCTTGCCTATATCTCTGGGCTAGAAGAGAAGAGGTTCGTCTTTTTCTCTCAGTAGCCCTGATCTGAGTCTAGAGAGTGGGGAATTGTGTTGATTTGGCGAAGGGGCAGGAGAGGACCAAGTGGGAAAGGCTGGGCTTTTGAGGACATTGTATACAGATTTGGTCAGCTTGATACTTGTCTGCCAGGCCACTGTCCAGTCCCCCTGGTCCTCATGTCTCACAGCTATGTCCTCTCTCCTCCCCTTCCAGTCCTGGGTCGGGTGCTGGAGGTGACAGATCTCCCTGAGGGCATCACCCGTACCGAGGCGGACAAACTCTTCACCCAGCTCGCCATGTCCGGCGCCAAGATCCAGTGGCTCAAGGATGCTCAGGGGCTGCCCAGCGGGGGCGGGGGGGACAACGGTGGGACTGCTGAGAACGGCCGCCACGCGGACCTTGCTGCCTTGTACACCATCGTGGCTGTGTTCCCCAGCCCCCTGGCTGCCCAAAACGCCTCCCTTCGCCTCAACAACTCCGTGAGTCGCTTCAAACTTCGAGTGGCCAAAAAGAACTATGACCTGAGGATCCTGGAGCGAGCCAGCTCCCAGTGAGCGGAGAACGGGAAGGGACCAGCACAGTAGGGATGGGGATAGGGTGGAGGGAGTGGAGGGGTCCAGACAGATCATGGACAGAGGCACGAAGTAGGGAGACAGACGCTGAACTGGAGCCTGAGACCTTAGGGACAGAGATGGAAACAGACACGGGACTCCTCACTCCCCTGCCGTGGTCCTTTTTCCCTGGTTGGCTCCTCTCTGCTTCCCTCTCCTTCCCATCATCTTCTATCATTTTTTATCTCTTCTCCCACCATGAAATTAATTTCTTTCATATTTTTTGGCCAGGTAGAATTAGGAGGGTCCCACACTCCCCTATCCTCCTATTTCCTTACCATCCCAAGCTCCCTTTTCTTGTCTTTATGAGTATATTTATATGGACAGAATGAAGAAAAACGAAATTGATTTCCCCTTCCTCTCATTTCCCCCATCTTATCTCCCCAAACCCCACTGAGTTAAAACTCGGGCCTCCTCCCACCCGCAGAACACTTGTATATTGTTTGAGGTTCGTGCCGCAGTAACAGACACAGTATTTAATTGCACATACAGATGTTTGCTGGGTATATTCACTGTAAATTTTATTTAATCTGTTTGTTTGTTTGGGGGTTACCTGGGGGGAGGTTGGTTTTGTTTTTAAATATAAAAAAAATCTTCTGTTACTGGACGTCAGTCCCCGTTTTTCTCTTGCCGCCTTGGTGTGGGTGGGGGTTGGAGGTCCTGGGTAAGTACAGCCCCGCAGCTGTTGGAGGGGTTTGATGTGGGTTGGGGTGGTTTTCCCTAAACACATGCACACATCTCTTCCTAACGCTATTCCTCCCCCTGCAACCCCGTCCTTCTCCCTGCCCACAGTTGTGATATATGGCTGGGTCTCTGATGGAGCCTTGGTTCTGGGCTCTCCCAGCTTGACTCTGGATCACTTTGTGTCCTTATTAGTAAAATAAGAGACTTGGACTGACAAAGTGACCTCTGAGGTTCCTTGCAGCCTATTCTGTAATACTCATTTAAGGCCCTCGTGGCTGATCTGGGGTGGGGCAAGGGGCTGTTAAGTCCAGAACTGGATTGAGATGTTGTCCTCATATCCTGTCCCATCTAATCTTCTGAAAACCCTTTAGGGATGGAGTACTTGGTCTTTCTTTAATCCTAAAGCCAGAGGATTGTGTTCTACAGAAATGGATGCTTCTTGTAATAAATGCTACATCAGCTGAACTTGCAGTGCCAGGATGCCACATTATCCAGGTGTGCTCAGCCATCCCTGTGCATTGAAGAAAGAAGAAGAGCAAAAGTCACTCCACCTGCAAGATGGAGGCTTTCCTATATCTGGGGCTCCTCAAAGTTGGTGCTGTTGTTCACAGCCAGTTAGGCCAGGGCCATTAAAGAGCTTATAGCCTCAGAACCAGTAGAACCTGAGAGAAAAAAGCAGTGGGTGGAAATGGCAAAGCACATTGCCCTGGAAATCTCTTGGGTGGCAGTATGTCTAGGCAGGCTCCTCTGAAGCTTGTCTGACCCTGCCTCCAACCTAATCCTCTCTTTCTTACAGATGCAAGGGTTAATGCAGCAGTACATTACCACCTGTAAATTTTTCTTCTCTGAGATGGCAGTATCTCTTCTTCCAGCCATGTCACAGCCCACAGAATAGGAGAAGGCTACATCTCTATGAGATACGAATGCCAGCTAACTCCTTGACCCATCAGTTCATACGCTGGGGTATGAGAGGAGGGAGATGAAACCAAGGAGTCAAATTAGCAGAAAGTGTGAGGCATGGCCATCCTACCTCCAGGAGTTTGCTGCTCTCATGGGAAAGGGGACATTATTTACAGATGATCAGAACGCCCTGTGTGGCAGCTATAGCCTTCTGTTTACTGTTAACTAGACCATCCCTACCTGGTTGTCAGACCAGCACTCCCCGAGTGCCTCTCAGATGGAAGTATTAGCCTATCTTTCCTAGGCGCCCTTAAGGTTCCCTTTGGAGCCCTGGCGGCACAGTGGTTAAGAGCTCAGCTGCTAACCAACAGATTGGCAGTTCGAATCCACCAGCAGCTCCTTGGAAACCCTATGGGGCAGTCTACTCTGTCCTATAGGATCGCTATGAGTCAGAATCGACTCGATGGCAGTGGGTTTGGTTTTGGTTTTTTGGTAAGGTTCCCTCTACCCTGAGGACACAGTTTTAGAGAAAAGGGGGTAACAACGTCTCTGGATATAGCTGGAGGGAACAAAGCAGTACTACAGATCGTTCACTCCCTTACAGGCTGGAGCAGGGTACCCTCTAACTCCTGTGAATAAGAAAGCAGTCTAGTCTATCTGATAGGAGAGCTCTGAGGAGTCAAATGATCCCTTCCTACCTGGTTTCCAGCCCTTTCTTTCCTAAAGTTTTAAAGTTAGGCTGGTGCTTGAGGGTGTAAAAATACATGGTCACAAGAAGACAAGGCTGAGAAGTTGAAGTATGTAGTTCCTAAAGTAGGCCCAGGGAGAAAAGACTTGGGGAGGTGTTTGGACCTTGGGAAATGGGATGGGGGATCTTGTCAATAACTCATCTTGACTTCACCGTCAGTCATCTAAAATCCCCTAAAGTGGGTGTGTAACGTGAACAGAAACAGCCCCTCAATTCCTGAGTTTAGCCGGTACTGGCCTGCTCACCACAGACAAGAGTCAGGGAACAGCAGCTCTGGGGATGGGAGGGGTTAGGGTCCAGCCCTGTCTCAGACCTCTGCGTGTCTAATTTCTCTGTGTCAGCTGTGTTGCTCAGCTGTCCACTTTCCTCTAGCCCTGTCATTTCAGCTCTGACACCAAGGAGAGAGGCTAGGAGGTCTACAAATACCGTCTGGGTAGCTGGTGTGAGTACGGAGGGTACTGGGGGGGCTCAGCCCCCAGGAAGAAGACCGATCCTCCCCCAGCATTACTACCAAGGCCCCAGGGGATCCCTCTTCCCTCCCCAAACTGTGGACTGGCTTAGGGAATCCCCAAACGTAAGTTACCTCTTCATCTTCTTTCCATTTCGAGGACTATTCACCCCAGCTTCTCCAATCCTTGGTCTGTTCAGGTTCCTTTTTCTCCTTGTGTATGAGCAGTTTATGAGGAATTATTATTATTATACTCCAGAACTAGAGCTAGGATTGGAGGGCAGGTAGGGTGGGGTCAAGGGAATGGAGTAGTAAGGGAAGGAAAGGCTCATATTACTCTGAAAACTTAAAATAGCTGAGGCCTGAGGCAGGCTGGGATGGAACTAGGCAAGAGGCCCCCAGGGCTCAAAAAGGAGATAGGGGATAATGTCCCCAGCCCATTTCTATATGCATGCAGGGGGACACACACTTTAAACCTCTTAAAGAGAGGAATCTGGGAAAACAAGTCACATCTCTATTGCCCACAGCCTTCCAGAAGAAACAAAATGCCTGTAGGTAAATCCCCAAACCATGCAGCCTTGAACACTGTTAGGGCTGTAAACTCTGGGGTTGCCTCTCAGGGTAGAAGGATGGGTATCGGTTTCAGCTGGGAAGTTCTTTGGTTTGTCTGGCTTTTCCCTGAACCTTCATGGCAGTTTTTGTTCATAAGCCCTGTGAAAGGATCTCTGTTTAACCAAATTTCTCCCAAGGCCACCCCTTCAAGGACCACCCCACTACAAGGGAGAGAAGAATGGCAGTCAGGGATTAGATTTCATAGTGGGGTCCAACCTCTTGCAGGATGACAGAAAAGGAGGTGCCGGAGTCTCCTAAACCCTCCTTCCCAGCAGAGACTCGGCAAACAGGGGTGAGTCTGGGCCTCTGACCATTGGGTGTGGGGAACTGGGAAGCCATGACAGCCCTTGAAGAAAAGTGCCTGAATTGATCTCAGTTGTATGTGACTTACTGTTAGAATGCCAGCCAGTACCTGTAACCCTCGATACCCCCTAATCTCGGGGCATGGACACTAGAAAATACCCGGTGAGCTTTAGCCTCACTTGCTCTAGAGAGGGTGACAGTTATTTTAACATCGGCTTTCCTTCACTCCCTCCTTCCCTCCTTCAGCTGCAGCGGCTGAAGCAGTTGTTCAGGAAGGGGTCTACAGGGACAAAGGAGATGGAGCTTCCCCCAGAGCCCCAGGCCAATGGGGAGGCAGTGGGAGCTGGGGGTGGGCCCATCTACTACATCTATGAGGAAGAGGAGGAGGAAGAAGAGGAGGAGGAGGAGCCACCCCCAGAACCTCCTAAGCTTGTCAACGATAAGCCTCACAAATTCAAGGATCATTTCTTCAAGAAGCCCAAATTCTGTGATGTCTGTGCCCGGATGATTGTGCGTGAGTCATGAAGGGAAGTGGAGAGAGTGTGATGTCCAAGACAAGAGGGCTGGGGAAAAAAGTTCAGGAGATGAGTATTTGTATACCAGACAGGCTGTGCCAGTATTTGGCTTGAAGAAAATACTATTATTATACACTGGGAGAGTGTAAGGGACCCCAAGAGCTAGAGTAGCAGCAGGGGTGCAAAAGGAAAGGGAAATCAGGAACCTCACCCAAATGTTCTCCCCCTCTCCCAAGTCAACAACAAATTTGGGCTTCGCTGTAAGAACTGCAAAACCAACATCCATGAGCATTGCCAGCCGTATGTGGAGATGCAGAGGTGCTTCGGCAAGATCGTGAGTAGGCTTTGGGGAGAAAGACGGCAGAAGGGAGGGGATATGTTGCCAGCCAACCCTTGCCAGCCCCTCCTCAAGTCATCCCATTCATTTTCCTACTTTTTCTTTCTCAGCCCTTGTACTCTAAGAAGGGGTGAACACTCAGTGGGAGAGATGGGACTCTGGGTCCTACCTTGCTATCTCTAATGCTCCCTCCCATCCCATCCTGCAGCCCCCTGGTTTCCGTCGGGCCTATAGCTCCCCACTCTACAGCAACCAGCAGTACGCTTGTGTCAGAGATCTTTGTAAGTGCCCCATATGGGACCTGAGGGAATGGGCAAACATAGAGGTAGTTTCAATACCATCTTTAGCTTTGGAAGCCAAATTCCAAAACAGATTCTATTTCCCATGGTTCTCTCAGCCTAATGTTCTTAGCCATCTTGGATAGAGTCAATATTATTTCCCCTGTTTTATAGCTAAAGAAGATGAGACTTAGCTAGGGCCACACACAGCTAGCAAGAGGCAGGGCCAAAACTGAAATCTTTGCTTGATTCAAAAATCTGTGCTCTTCATATGTAAAACCATTTCTAAGCAAGAGCAAAGATTCTGGACTGTTCTTATCCTTGTTACAGAGTCATGCCAGTTTCGGGGCCAGACCAAAAGCAGTTGGCATCCTGGACAGATTCATAACTTGGCACCTTTGAAAACTTAACTCCTTGACAACTTGCTCAACATTTATTTGGAGTACAGGCAGAACTCTGTGAGGACCATGGGTGAAAAAGAAGACCCCATTGGTACTAGCACCCCAGCTTGTATATGCCACTGAGCAGAACAAAAGCCAACTGTTAAAGGACCCACTCTCCTTAGAAGGAGAATAGTGATTATTTGCGCATGCCCCAGCTTCCAAGCAACTTACCAAATTTGTCAGCCTCTATTATGCTCTGCCTGGAAGGAGTTCTGGTAAAAAAAAAAAAAATTCCATTACATTTCCAGTGATGTTTTTAGAGCCCTGGTGGCACGGTGGTTAAGAGCTTTGGCTGCTAACCAAAAGGTCAGCAGTTCGAATCTACCAGCCGCTTCTTGGAAACTGTATGAGGCAGTTCTCCTCTGTCCTATAGGGTCGCTATGAGTCAGAATCAACTCGACAGCAGTGGGTTTATAGATTGGTGATCCAGGTATTACCCAGCTAACCCTTCCCTAATCCTTCTCCACTGCCCCATGGGTATCTAGCTACTCAGTCCCGACTCTCCTTTCCTTAGGAAGTCTCTCTTTCTTGAATGCTTTCTCTGCCGCCACAGTAATGTCTCTTTCTTTGTCCTCCCATTCCCACTAGCTGCTGCTAATCACAATGACCCTGTGTTTGAAACCCTTCGCACTGGGGTGATCATGGCAAACAAGGAACGGAAGAAGGGACAGGCAGATAAGAAAAATGTGAGAGCACTATACCTTCCCCGCTGAGGTTTCTCACAGAGACCACATGAAGCAGATCATGTCCCACCTCTAGAAATTCTAGCTAACAGAAGCTATGGATCGTCTTCCCCTAAAATTGCACATAACCCAACAAATTTTTACATGCAATTTTGGAGTTTTTGGGCCTGCTGCAGCTCACTGTGGTTGTCAGGTTAAGGACTCCTGCCATAGAGTATGTTTTTCCGAGGATCTTCCTTCTGGAATTTTCAGATTAATCGCTATAACCACCTGAAAGCTAGGCCTCGGGCCCCTGGCATTGTTGAGTGACAGGCAAGAGCTGAGCTTTTGGATTTGGGGAGGAGAACTTGCCAGGCCAAGTAATCAGAGAATTCTGGAGCTCTGCAGGGATCCATGAAGGTCAGCTTATAGATGAGGAAACTGAGGCACAAAACTAGTGGCAAAGGCCACCTTTATTTTCTTTTGTAATACGGTTACTAGATTGGTAATGCCATAGACATACATACAGTTCAGCAAGGACTTTGACAGAGTATCTTTATATCTTTGTGTACAGCCAGGATAGACTAATGTGGATGATGTTTAGTTAGATGATTTCCTATAACTGATTAAATGACAATACCCAAAGGGCCCTGGTCCTTTAGGGAGTGTCCAGCTAGAAGGAGATTGCTGATGCCTTATAGCATGGTTTGGTTTTTGGTCCTCACCTATGGACATTCTTCTCACTGACACAAATGTAAGTGGTATATTCATTAAGTTTGTGGGAAGTGGGAAACTAGAAATAGTATACTGAATAATACTGAATAATACACTCAAAAATCTTATAGACTGGAAGAATGGGACAAAACTAATAATTTGAAATTTTGTGAGGAAAAATGTACAGATCTGTGTCTTGGATCCAAAAAAAAAAAAAGAAAAGAAATCAACTACATAAAAACATAATTAGGAATCTGGCTTCAAGTAGTTGATATAGAGGTTGGGGCAGATCAGGGATTTTTGTGGAGTGGCCTGTGCCTTATTAGCCACTAGCAGTACGATTTGGCTGCTTCCAGAAAGGCTAGCAACTCTTGGGTTCTTTTCTCCTAAGGGAATTATAAAAACTATCTTGTCCATTTTTCTCTTACACCCTAGAGTATTTCTAAGAGTAGACTATATAATGAAGGATCTGGACTCTGGATCACAGGAGGTGATTTGAAGGGTCATATCACCTGTCCTCAGAACTTTAAAGGGACGATATTTGTTCTGTATTGCTCTAGAGGTCAAATCCGGACCAATAAGTAAAAGTCACAGGGAGATTGACATAGGCTTAATATAGGAATTGCCCCAAAATTGCATAGGGTTGCTTTGTAAGGTAGTGAGCTCCTTGTCATTAGCCACATTCAAGCACAGTTTGCGTGACCCACCTGCCAGTTTGTTTTAGAGGAAGTCTCTTCATTAGGCAGGATGTTGAACTAGATATTTCCTCCAAGTCTCCTTCTAACCCTGAGATCATATTCTATAGTTTCCTGGCTTGATTGGAGAGCCAGGGCAAGCATGGGTTCCCAAGACCCTATCTCCCTAACTCTGGTGCTGCCCCCCCTCCCCAGCCTCTAGCAGCCGTGATGGAGGAGGAGCCAGAGTCTGCCAGACCAGAGGAAGGAAAACCCCAGGCTGGTGAGTGTCACCCACCTATATCCATAGAAGTGAAGTAGGGTTTGGGCCTCAGCTGTGGCCTGGGATGGAGGGGCAAAGGACAGGCCAGTCATGGAAATGAAAGAGGCCCTTCATTAGAAAGGTAAGAGAATGGGGCCAGAAACAATTTATTGATGTTTTCCATCCCAGGAAACCCTGAAGCGGATAAGAAGGCTGGGAGGAAGACACCTGATGACAAAGTGAGACTCTTCCCTCCCTGCAGGGACCCCAGTCCTCTCCCCAACCAGGTCTGACTACTCAGGGCCTCAGCAGAAGCCTTGGGTTCCCATCACTCTTGACCTGCCCCCCTCCACCGCGTGAGTGCAGACACACACACACACACACACAATTTGACCTGGAAGAGAACTGGAATGTTATTATGTCTGGAGAATGCCCCTGCCTTGGACTCCCACCCCTCAGTGTGGGGCAGAGGAGCACTGAAACGCCTCATCCCCTCTCACCCCTAGCACAAGCAGCCTGGTTTCCAGCAGTCTCACTACTTTGTGGCTCTCTATCGGTTCAAAGCCCTGGAGAAGGATGATCTGGATTTCCCGTGAGAGGCTTTGAGAGGAGGGAGATACTGGGAAGTGGACAGGGGAAAGGGAAGAGCTGGGCTCCCTATGGGAAGGGGAAAGAGAGCTCAGAGCTTGGAGCCTATTGGGGCTGGAGCTGGGATCAGGAATGTGAGTGAGGCCCTAAATCTCAGGCCCCTCCCTTCCTCTCCTAGGCCTGGAGAGAAGATCACAGTCATTGATGACTCCAATGAGGAGTGGTGGCGGGTAAGAAATGGCTGGGGCTAGGGAAGGGCATGGGTTGAGTACTTAGAACCTAGGACTTGAGAGATTGAGTCTCCCTACCATCTCCCCTAGGGAAAAATCGGGGAGAAGGTTGGATTTTTCCCCCCAAACTTCATCATTCGGGTCCGTGATGGAGAGCGTGTGCACCGTGTAACGAGATCCTTTGTGGGGAACCGCGAGATAGGGCAGATCACTCTCAAGAAGGACCAGGTATCTCTGGTGCCTCAGCCTATCCCCAGACCCGAACTGCTCCACACTCCTTGGAGATCTTAACCCATTACTGAGACTAAGATGGGCCTCCATAACCCTAGACTACCTACTCTTCTATTTTTTCCCCTTGATTTTTCTATTCCCTTTAATCCCCCAGATCGTGGTGCAGAAAGGAGACGAAGCCGGTGGCTACGTCAAGGTCTACACGGGCCGCAAGGTGGGGCTGTTCCCCACCGACTTCCTGGAGGAGATTTAGGGGTGCGGGCGCCTGAAGGCGAGAGATACCCATTTCCCATTCTGGGCGGGCCCAGTGGAGGTGGGGGAGAAAAGGGGCGAAGGCAGCTGGACTGCTGGGTAGAGGAGGGGAGTGCAAAGGCCCGCCAGAGCATGACCGGGCATCTGGGAAGGAACTGGTTCCAGCCCCTGCCCCGGGCAGCCGCCCATACCCCCTCAGGCCCTGCCTGCGAAAGCTGGAAAAAGAAGGACGCGTCTCTACTAGGAGGCGCCCTGGGAGGGGGAGAGGCGAACTGTCGATGTGCATTTATTAAAAGTTTTGACAAAAGTTGGAAAAGTTTGATCTTTAACTGGGGGATAAGGGGGGACGAGTGGGTCTCCAGAGGGGTGGCGAATCCTCTCCCGCAGTCCCACCGCACTACTGTCGGATAGCCGGACACCCACATGGGCCGAGCCTCATGGGAGGTGGGGAGACAGATGCGTCCGCCTGGAGTGGCCTCTTGTCAATAAAGAAAGGATAGCAGGACTGGACTTACTGCCCCTGCGCCCTTGCGGCTGGGAGCAGCTTTCTGTAGCCGAGCTGTGTGTGATTCAGCAGCCCCTTGAATTTTGGAACCTGGCTCAGCGCGGATCTGGGCCGCCAGGGGGCGATGCAAGATCTCCGTTGGAGAGCAAGGGACCTGGGGAGAGACAACCAGAGACACCAAGCCTGAGACCCTAGGCCTAGGAGGGGGCGGGGTGCGTGCCGTCTCCATGGCAACACTTCCTCAAGTCTTCTGGGGACTGAGCGAGCAAGGCCGAGGGCGCTAACCCCTCCCGCACGGCCCCCGCCCCAGCCCTTTCCGACAGGTACGGGGTGAGAGCGTGCGGGGCAGACAGCTCCCCAGCTCTCGCGGAGACACCCCTGCGGCGCGCCGTATGCAAATGTTATTATTTGCATATGTAAATATGCAAATGTTCCGGCCCCGGTCAGGGCGGCAGGTGGCGGGGGGGCAGGAAGGTGTGGGGAAGGGAGCTGAAGGAGACGAGGAGTTTGGGGACCTAGGAGCAGACCAGTGAGAGGCAGCCTGGGGTGGTCGTTGGAGGGGGGCAGGCAGAGAGTCGAGCTTGATGGCAGGTTGGGGAGGGTCGGTGTGGCCAGCCCGGAGCTCCTCTTCTCTTCTGCCGGTTGTTTGCCAGGCCTGAGGTTGGCACCGCCTAGCAAGGTTGGCAGCGGGAGCCCGGGCACCATCTGCTGCTGGCGGAGGGAGGGCAGAGAGGCTCAGCTGGGCTGAGAAGGGGGCCTGGGACGGACGCGCCCCCTTTCCTTTCAGAAGGCTGAGGTGTGGAGGGGGGAGGGAAACGCAGAAGACTAACTGCTGAACTGGGTTCGATTTCCTGTTCCCATTGCCCTTGACTGTCCCGGACTCCTGGGGGCAGCGCCAGGATCATAAAGGAAGACTCAGGTAGCCCACCTTTAATCACGCTTGGGCTAAAATAGGAGCAGATCACAGGCCCCCCAACACACAAATCAGGCCTCTTGCCCCGACCGCACCTCAGGGCCCGCCTACCACAAAAGTAGGGGAGAGAAACAACGAGGGCTCCCATCGCCCCCTCTTCATCTAGCCGTCTGAGGGACTCAAAATCGGAGCCGCCCCGCCCCGAGATTCTCGAGAGGGCCCCCCCACAATGCTAAAGCAAAACCAATTTACTAGCTCATTGGGCAGCAATGCTGGTGGGGGGGTGCCAGAGGAGCAGGGAGAGCGGCTGTTTTCCCCCTACACTCGGGATGGGGGGCGCCCCCCCTTTCCCGCCTCGCGGAGCCGGCAGCTGTCCCTAATTAGAGCGGCGGTTTAATTGGATTTATCAGCAGTTAATAGGAAATTAAGCAAAGGGCCCGAGAGGGTGCGGGAGGAGCGGTAAGGCGGGCTGTGCCGAGCTTAAAGAAGGGGTGCCGAAGGGGGCGGCAAGTGGGACGTAAGGCCCAGTGTTGAGATCAAGCCCCTTGGTCACGCCCTCTCGCCCTGTACCCGCCTACCAAATAAACCCTGGTCGGCGGGCCAGAGAGCAAGTCCCAGGAGAGGACGATGGGCGAGACAGCGACCCTACGTGAGCCCCCAACGCCCTTAGTCCCTTGAGCGGCCGCTTGGGTGATGGATGATGCTGCCACACGCGGCAAAGGTCATAAGTCTGGGCCAAGGAGCGGATGGAATTGAAAACAGACCGGAGGAGGGGTCGGGGTGGCGGACTCCGAGACACAATCCCCGCCCCATCCCTTGCCACTGCCCCCTTCATTCTTAGCAAAAAAAAAAAAGTGCCCCTTGAAGTTGGAAAATTGGACAACGAGCGGCGAGGAAGGGGCCACAGTGTGACCTTCTCTTCATCCCCCGCCTCGTGGCCTGTATTGGGAATCCTGGCAGTCTCCCAATTCAGCGGCCGATGTCCCCCTATGGCTTCTGCGTTAGTGTCCGAACTGCCCTGGACGGGGCTGTCTGGGACCGCTGAGCTGGGGTGGCCCAAGGCCAGCCTCGGCCGCCCTAGGGACGGGGAGGGGAGGAAGCTCGCAGGCTGTCCGGGCAGACGGATCCTGGGCCAAGCCCGAGTCAATTGGAAGCTCACAAGCCAAGGAGTCTACAGCCTCAGGCGCCTCCTGTCACCACGACCTCATTATACACTGCTAGGCTAACGAGGCCTGCTCGCGGGGACCTGGCGACCTCGCTGCCACACTCCACCCCTGCCAAACACAGGCGGCAGCTCCTGTGTATGCGTGGGTTTAAGCTGAGCGTGTGTGGGTGGGCGGGAGTCCACATCTCTGGCAATTGTGGATGTCTATGCCCCTGGCGTGTGGTATGTGTGTGTGTGTGCCCCAGGTGTGTGAGGTGTGTTTATCTGAGCCCCAGGTGGGGTATAAGTGTCCTGTCTGTGCCCCTGGGTGTGTCTGTGCCACTGTGTCCGTATCTGTCGGGTTTGTCCATGTCCTGCCCACCCCACCCCCATGATGATTGCTGTCTGTCTACACCCCTGGATGACTCGGTGTCTGGGTGTGCCTGTGTACTGTGGCTGTCTGTGTGTCTGTGCCTCTTTGATCCTGGGTGTGCCCACGTGTGGGCATTTCCGTGTATCTCTGTCTACAGGTTTGTGAGTATGAGAATCAGGAGGCGCCGCTGGTGAGTGTGTGTTGCTCTGGCGTCTCCGCCTGCAGGTGCGTGTGTCTCAGTGACAGTGCGTGGGCGTGTGCCTGGGTGTGAGCCGCGCGGTGGCGTTTATCCAAATGACAGTGTGACGCGCGCGCGCGCGCGCGCGTGTGCTTGGGTGCATCTCCCGCCCCCGCTCCCTCCTCTCCCCATTTCTATTCCTCTCTCCTCTCCCTGCCGGCTCGGCTCCGCGGTCCGCGTCATCTCCATCCATTATTGAAGAAACAGCCGCGTCCGCTCCAATCACATCAACACCTTCGCCCCCGCCCCCCTTCTCGCCCCGCGGCCCCTCCGGGTGCTAGGGAGGGGGGAAGCCGCGGCGCGGCAGGGCGCCGGGCGGGAACCGGCTCATGACCCTGTGCCCCGAGCCAGCCCAGGCCCGGGGACGCCGGGGTCCCCGGCGGAGAGCGCTTTGCATAAACAGATGGCGCGGGCGTCTTTGTCTCGCTCCCTCGCCCGCCGCGCGGCTCCCGGCTCCGTGGCTGTCTGGCTGATGCAATCATGATCATCGCGGAGCCTCGGGACCCAGCGCCCTTAATAGCTGAAGAGGGGGGTCAGGGGCCCCGGGGCTCCCGAGCAGATGCTGGGCACTATATCTTCCCTCCCGGGCGCCTCCTCCCCGCCCCACAGCAACTGCGGGAAGACAGAGGCCGCGCCGAGGTGACGGGCATGTGGAGGTGACCGGGAGGGGGACCCTGGGAAGTGCCCTAGGTGTCCCCAGGCTGTCCCGTTGGCCTGCTGCAGCCCCCAGGGGCAGCAAGACAGAGAATAGGAATAGAGCTGGGGATGAGGAAGGAGGTGAATAGAGAGACAGGCATTTGTAAAAAAGAGACACAGGAAGGTAAAGAGAGATAGAGAGGGAAGGAGAGAGAAAGACCAAAACAGAGAAACAGATGCAGAGGGACGAGGCCAGGTAGAGAGAGCTGCAGAGCAGGCAGACAGACATAGCCAGAAATGGTAAGGAACACAGGGACACAGACACCTCCAGAGAGACAGACAGGGCCTGAAGAAGAAAGTGGCAGGAAAGAAGGGCAGTCAGAGGCCGGGACAAGTAGGGTCAGAGGGCAGAGGGCTGTCTCGGTCGGGGCAGCATTACCCCAGAACGGAGACGGAGGCCCTGCAGTACGAAGACAGCCCAGTTCCGCGAGAGGAACTATCCTGAACCCGAGGTGCCGCCCGCGGCGAGTGAGGCAGACGCTTCAGCGTCCCCTCTCCGCCCTATGGTCCCACCTCTCACCAGAAGAGCTTAGGCTGCAGAACCTGGCGGCGGGAGGGGAAGGAGTGGCGGGCTGGGAGTGGACCCACAAGCCGAGTGCGCACTTACCTGCCGGAACCCTGCGGGATGTAGAGTCAGCGCTGCCCCGCAGGGGGCGCCCGAGGCCTCTCCCCCGAGGGTTTGGGAGCCTCACAGCCTCCAGGGGGCGCCCGCACCCACAGCCCCTGCTGTACCGAGTCACGTTTTACGTGATGCGCGGCCCGCCGCGCGGATTAGTGTCCTGGTCGGGTGTAGCATTCTTTAGGAGCCAGATTGCGGTCCCGGGGGGAGCCACACCGCCCCCAGCCCCGCCTAATCCGCAGCTAATGACTCCTCACCCACTCGGCCGGCCAGCATGGCCTGAAGTCTCTCGAGTGGGAAAGTGCGGGGATGCGGGTGGAGTGGGATGTGTAACCCAGGGAGTGCTAATTCCCGGCCCGCCCCCAAAGACAGAGACCCAGAGGCAGAAACCAGAGATGGGAGGGGCTTAGAAATATGGTCACAGACAGGGGTTGGAGACATGAACCAGAAGCAAGTAACACCAGGTCGAGGAGTCGTGGGGAGGCCGGCGCAAGAGGAAAAATGCAATGAAGGGCTGGAGAAGCTGGGGCGGAGGGCCCAAGGCAGGAGGAATAGCCGCTGCTCTAGAAAGAAGTAGGAGAAAGGGCACAGGGATGCTGGAGAGGGCCCGAGAGCCGAGGAGCGCGAACAGAGACTAGGAATCCCTCCCGGCTTCTTGGCGCCCCAGCTGTGCCTCGCAGAGCCAGCTGTGCAGCCCAGCTGTGCGGCTGCTCGAACTCCGAGATTGCTTTTTAGTCCCAGAGACTGGAGGGTTGCGGGGCGCAGGTAACAGGACGCCCCCTCTCCGGTCCGGCCCTGGAGGTGCGGGCGCTCTGGGAGGACCAGGCTCCGCGCCGCTGGCGGCTCTGACGTCCCGTCAGCCCCCCTCCCCCGCACCCCCGCACACCTCGCCGTGAGTCTCTGTCTCTTTGTTCTTGCCATGTCTCTGACACTTTATCTCATTATCCGCCGGAGGGAGGCGGAGAGCCCGGGACCTCGCAGCCTAATTACAGCCGCACTTGTCAGCTCGGGGGGGTGGGGGGTGGGGGTGGGGAAGGTATCAGCGCCTTGAAAGGGGAGGGGGCGGCTCCCAGGAAGGGTCCCCTCCCTTCCCAGGACCCCGAGGAGCCCAGCAGCGGGGGCACAGCAGGCAGGGGCAAAGTGGGGGAGCTAGACAGGATCCGGCCGCGGGGTCCGGGGATGGCTAGTGTGGGAGTGGAGAGAGACAGGGTTCGCTCCTGCGTCGCTAGGACCCCCATTCCCTAAAGACAGGGGCAGTAGGCCTTCCTACCCTGCCAACATAGCATACACCTGAGTTGGCTGCATCAACAGAGGCAGTCGCTTCGCGGTTCTGTCTCTGTCTAGTTCTCTTTCCTCCTTCAACATCTTTTCTGTCTCACTTCATTCTCTTCCTCTTCTCATAGCCAGAGGGCAGCCTCGTTGGGTGGCTCCAGCTTCACCCCTACTGGAGGTAGGCAGGACAAGCAAGTCTCTCAAGTCCCAAAACTGCAACTGACTGGGAACACTTGGACCGCTCAGGGACGGTGGGAATGAGTGGCCCCTAGCGGGGATCCCCAGGCCGCGTGCCTCCGACTGTACCGCTCCTCTCAGAGCTGGGTTCCACATTTGCCTTAGGCTGCTCAGGCATGGAACCACTCTATTCCAGGACAGTCTCTGCTCAGATAAACCATCCAGACAAGAGGGACGGAGGCAGCTTAGTGCACTCAGCCTATCTTCCTTCCACTACACTCAGAGTGAAGGACCAGGGGCCTCCAGGACCTGCTAGCCCCTGGGTGACTCTAGCAGCATCAGGAAGGTGCTGCAAATGCTTCCTCCGCGCCTGGACCCTCCTGGTCCCACCTGCGAACACACAACACACGTGCACTTTGCTGGATGGTCTATCTGCCTGCCTGTTCCATGGCGTGTCCTTCCCCCACTTTTGGATCCCCCTTCATCTCTGTGTTCTGCGCCTGTGGAGTCTCTCCCTCGGACCCCAAAGTCTCAGGTATGGTGGTGTCCTGGGGGGCCAGGGTGCAGGCATCTAGAGGAGAGGGTCCAGGAGCAGGAACCTCTCCTTGCCCCAAGTATTCCTCTCCCTGCTTTGGGCCTGGAAGAAAGCGAGCTGGGAGTTGGTGGAGTGCATCTCTAGAGGCAGGCCCGGCTGGGCCAGGCTGGGCCGGACTGGGCTGGGCTAGGCTGATCACTCCCCAACGGGGGCGGGACCCCGGGAGGACCTAAGAGCCGAGCCTCTGGAGAGGACCAGACACTCAGAGGACCAGGCACTTAGGCGATATGGTGGGAACTAGTCTGGGGGCTGGCCTCCACCGCCAGATCAAGAGAAATCCGGGGGTGAGTTCTGTCCCCAGGGCCCCTGATTCTAACTCCTCTCTTGTCCCCTAAATCCCCCAATGCCCTGCCTCTTACTTAGTTCCCCCAACGCTTCTAATCTTCCCCCAGGGTGCCCCTGACCCATCCCTACAACGTACCCAGTGTCCCACAAATCTACTTCGGACAGGCTTGCTGTGGGGTGAAGGAGACTACGGGAGGGGGGTGGGGGAACGTAGGAGGTTCCAGGTGCCCTCTCCTAGAAAGGAGGAAGCGCCAGACCGGAGGTGAGGGGCTGGGCAGAAAGGCTGCTAAAGGGCGATCCGGAACCGCGGGGGCGGGAGGGGCTGATCCTGAAGGTGCGCTCCCTCTTCTCCGTAGCTCATCCCGATGATAGGCTTCATCTGCCTGGGCATGGGCAGCGCTGCGCTCTATCTGCTGCGACTCGCCCTGCGCAGCCCCGACGTCTGGTAAAGGCCCGGTTGGGGACGCAGCCAGGAGTCCTGGGGTGGGGCAAGGTGGGGTGGGAACGCTTGGACAGCTCAGGGACGGTGGGAATGAGTGGCCCCTAGCGGGGATCCCCAGGCCGCGTGCCTCCGACTGTAGCGCTCCTCTCAGAGCTGGGGCCACCTGCCAACCCGGAGACCCCCACCTCCCTCCGGCCCAGACGGCCGCTCACTCCAGCTTGGCTCCCAACTGGACCCGCCGCGGGCGGCGGAGCCCGCGCCGCTCCCGGCCCCGTTGCCATGGCGACGTCGCTCTGCCCGCCGCGGGCCTTTGGGTTCCGCTTTCTGCAATCTCAGCGCAGGGTATGGGGGTGTGGCCCGGTGAGCCGCCTCCGGGAGCGCAGTAGGGGCCCGGGGTGGCACTATAGGGATCGGGGTGGTGCGCGGAGACTTCACGCCCGGCCGAGGCGGAAGGTGGGATCCTCAGATCCGTGTCAGCACCCACCCCCCCTCACGCCCGCGTTATCGGAATTCGAGGCAAATCACTGAAACCCCAGCCCCTCGGGATCTCAGTCAGATCTCCACGGCCCTGCTCTGCCGGGCTAAGCTAGGGTGGTGGGGAGTGAGCAGACATCCCTGGGTCGAGTTGTCAGTCTGTCACCTGACCCAATGCTGACAATGGTGACAGGCTTTTGGCTCGCTTGTCAGCACCCACTAACGTGACCCCTTAGTCAGTCTCTGAGAAACGGGCCCTCTAGAGTAGGTAACGTGGACGGAGCAGAGACCTTGGCTGGACTTGAGGGTCACTTTAGGCTCGAGAGTCCGGGCTTCTCGAGAAGAGACCCTAATCCTCTCCCTCTCGTTTCGCAGCTGGGACCGAAAGAACAACCCAGAACCCTGGAACCGCCTGAGTCCCAATGACCAATACAAGGTACTTCCTAGTGGCCCTAGCATTGCAACCTCATACGTTCATCTCTTGGTCCCAGGACGGACCCCTCGGTACTCTGCGCACAGAGAAGCCTGTGGCGCCCAGTGCAATTCCCTTTTCCTTCTCTTCCTAGTTCCTCGCAGTTTCCACGGACTATAAGAAGCTGAAGAAGGACAGGCCGGATTTCTAAGCCGGGCTAAAGGCCGCGTCGGGTATAAACGGCAGCCCGTCGGCCCACTAATTTCTTCCACTTGCAGCCGCCCTCAGCGCCCCCCACCCCCCGCCCAAGGCACCACTCTCGCCATCCCATGCAGCGTCACTTACACAGGCCCGGTTCCCAGGCGAGGGGGAGGCAGCTCCACCCCCACTTTCCTCCCTTGCTCCCAGCAGCGGAAGCGCCTCTGACCCTCGGCTTGAGTCCCACGGTGGGGGCGGGGGGAGGGCGGGCACGCAACAGTGGGGTTGACCCAAAGGCCCAAGCCAACCACTCCCCTCCCTCCCATAGGGCCTTGCAGGGTGTGACCTGGGCTACGTGTAAAGCGTGTCCAACGTGAGCCAGGAGACAGCAGGGGCCTCTGAGTGCCAAGCAACGTGGCTGGCGGATCCCATGTTAGCTAACTCTGGGCGCTGGCCAAGGGGCGGCGCTGCTCTGACTGGACTGGGCTCGCCAGGGGCTGCCCAGCCTACGCTGGACGAGGTACCTAGAGTTGGGAGGCGCAGCTTGCTCCTCCTGGTGCCTAAGCCTCCTGGGCTGCCTCCCTTACGGACAGGCAGCCCCTCCCCCTTGCACCTGGGCCTCCTCCTGCCACTCCCCACCCTCCCTTGCTCCCCTTGTCCCCAGGGATCAAACAGAAGCAGCCGTGGGCAAAATACAATTTCATTTAACAAATTGAATTTGCTGCGCCTGCTAATCACGTCTGGTGTGGGCTCTGATCAGAGGCAGAGAGAGGAGGCTGCAGCCCCCGGGGTCCTTGCGGTGGTAATGGAAGGAGGGAAAGGAGGTACACACTGAGGGAGACAACATCACCACCTGGCCCAGGGGACCCCTCCCACAGTAACAGATACTCAGGGTGGGTTAGCATTTTATTAGATAAAAAACAGGGAGGAGGGTGCCTACCCACCCCTTCCTCTGGCTCAGAAGGGTAACTCCCCTCTCCCCAAGAAAGAGCAGGGAGTCTTTAACACTGAAATAATAGCAGAGACTTAGGGCAGAAAGCCCCAGACTCCCCTTCTAAATCTTATTACAAAACAAGTTTTCTCAGCTATGAATTCTGGGAAGGAGAATACACTTGGCTGTTCCCCTAAATCAGAGGCCTCCTCTTCCACTATCAAAAATTAGGCAGATAAGCTTTCCCCTCCAGTGGCCCAGTCGTGGGGAGAAGAGTAACTTCCAGTCTGTGGGCCTCTCATCCCAGGTGCCTTCAGCGCTCATCAAAACCAGGCATGGGGAAGGCT